AGCAGACAGAGTCAATACAGGGAATGGAAAATCAGTGGTGACCAGAGGAGGGCTGATAAGTATCATCAAAGCTCTTTGGCCCAGCCTTAAGGAATCTATTCCCAGAGTAGGAAAGTTTAATCTAGACACCTTAATGGACTTCATGGCCTCCAGTGAGGATAGTGCACTAGCCAAGGGAACAGCTGGAGGTCAGATGTACGTCCTCTTCATGATGTTTTAGAGTCACATGACCAGTATCTGCGGGTAAATGGTTGCTCATCCTCTACAAATAATTAAAGTAATTGCAATGTGGACAAAGTGACACTTGTCACTGGTAGGTAGGTGAGCCCATGGCTAAGTAACTTGCTAACGTTAGCTAATGTTAGCAAGGCTAACCTGTTGATCAGTTAACATTAACCCGAGCAGACATCACAAACAATAGCTGTGTCCCAATTTAGCGCCGCATCCTCCGAGGGACGCGGGCCTAAATTGGGACATAGCTGTTATCTGAAGAAACTGGTAACACTAAACAACTATGTGCATGGGGAAAATGTTCGAAAAGAAACTTACCAGGGTCCATTTGCGGCAGCGTTACGTTTTCGTCCACCATCGCCTCCAGCATTCATTGCAGCGGCCACTGTTGCCAACTCCTCAGTAAGAAAAGTAGCTATTGGCTGTCCTAAAAGTTGCTAGAAGTAGCTAAATGACGTCATCGCCTAATTTGCATAATTGTCCATATGCATGTAATTGTAATGGCTGGTGTAGGAGAGAGGAATAATGTCGTGGGAGAGACAAAACTTAAGTAAAAAAAACACTCTGAATATGTTTAGAACTACAAATGAACCTTCTTTCAGTAATTTATATTAAACAAAGACAATTTTACATTTACATCCCGCCCTGACTGTAAACCAGGTCGGGATCAGCCAGCGGCGGCTCCGCGCATGCGCGATTCACTTGCAGTCTGGACGTGGAGGGGTTAACATCTCCTGCTCTGACTGCAGCTGGGAGGGAGGACTGGGCCGTTTGTGAGTGCTTTGGGGCGAGAGAGGAGCCCACGGCACGGCAGCATCTGCTGCTCGTTGAGAAGTGTAAGAATGATACGTGCTCTCACAACAGAGTCTCCAGAAGTCTTCAATAACATCAGAAAAAGTCGCTAGATTTGTCGCTAGTCACTTTTTTGAAAAAGAGTCGCTAGAGGGGTCTGAAAAGTCGCTAAATATAGCGACAAAGTCGCTAAGTTGGCAACACTGGCAGCGACTGAGCAGCTCAATAACCCCGCCCCCTTCCCCGTGACGTATTGGTTCTTTCTTCTATAGTCCAGCAAAGAACTGGTGCCACTCTGGAACCAGTTTTTCTGGCCCAGAGCCAGTTCTTTTGTCGGTCGAAACAGGAAAACTGGTTCCAAATTAAGCACTGGCCCAGAACCAGCACTGGAACTGCTTTGGTGGAAAAGGGGTATTAGGCTGCATGCGGAGGTGGTCTGGGCCACCTATGATCATATTATTATTGCAGTGCATTAATGTGTCCTGGACCACTGAAGGACCGCTTACTCAGATGGCATTCTTGCTTATCCAACTGTAATCTCTAAAAATGGATATCTGCACATGTATGCAGAATCTATAGACAACAGGACAAGATTTTGGCAACAGAAGAATTCTGGTTTCAGTTTGTTATCCGTTTGTAGTCTGTGGAGTATTGACCAGTCACATTTGAAAACATTCCATGTGGAGAAGCAGAATGCATTGGCTGAAATGTAATCTCGGAATCCATCATCTATCATTTGACAAGGATTTAGCTTTATATTAGCTTTTTAAAAATTTAACTGCAGTCATATGCAGATATCTCTTTACAGACAATACAGAGAATAGCTAAAGAGCCAGTTAGCTGCTGAGCAGTGCATGGTAGGTAAATCAGCCCAACATATTGGGCTATATAGTTGGTAGATGATAGCCACTGGGTTCCAAAATTGATCTGTTTAAAACCTTCTGTTGCTGCCAGTACACAGGTGAGCTGTTGCCCAGAAAGACAGTCTCCAGAGTTGCTCTCTTCCTGGCGAATGGTTAATTCAATGTCTGTCAGGCTAGCACAAGCACAGACACAAAACACAGAAGCAGCAGCTGTGAAACAGTCCCAACAAACTCACACCAACAGCAAAACAGCTCGATTTGTTAACAACCTTTTGGTAACATTAGCCATGTAATGATCATGCATCTGCTAGCAGGTCTGAACAGGCTCTATGTTCACCGGCTTGTCCCTTGCTTCCTGCTCATGAGAGCCTTGAGAGTAAATGCAAATAACAAACTGAAAAACCAAAAGAATGAACTGATGGATGCTACTGATGTTTGTTACTGCAAGCGACACATGTTTTATTTCACATTGTCATTTGATCCCTTCTATAAATGAAAATATTATTTGAAGCTGCTTTAAACAGGCCAAAACTACAACTATACTGTCTTTGCAGGTATTTTAATTTATATGGGGCTGAGTTTTTAAGACTCAAAAGGTTCTCTCACCTTAACAGAGGCCGTACAAGTAAGTACATTTACTCAAGTACTTAAATAAAACTTTGAGATACTAGTATACCATTTTATGCTACTTTATTCTCCTACTCTATATTCTGGAAACCAATTGTACAACATTTAGCTTTACTTGATACTTTGCAGATTACATCACATTATTAATACAAAACATAAACCTAATAAATCATGATGTATAGTTCTGGATTAAGCCACTCATCAGTATATGAAGTAGGCTAATTAACATTAGCTCCTTCTGTATCAGCTGCAACATTAGTGATGAACACATAACGCATCAATAATATTCAGTGATAAAAGATATATTATACTGAAAGAGGCCATTCCTTATAAAGAGTTCTTTTACTTTTAATACTTGAAACATATTTTGATGCCAATATGTTGGTACTTTTACTTCAGTAACAGTGTTTTAAATTTTACTTAAGATCTGAATTCTTCCTTTACCAGTGGATGCTTGTCAGCAAAACATTTTAAGTGATTATAAATTAAAACATTTTTCCCTGTGTGAGTTCATTCCACACATTATAAGTCATTATTATTCAGGGAATATGGGGTCATACAAGATATTTTGAAACTTGGACTTGATGTCTCTGAGGACATCGTCTTCACCTGACTTCAACTGCCGATATTCAGAGCAAGGCAGGTGAAAACATGCTAACTATCCTCATAATCCCATTACTCATGGTACAACGGCTGTCTGCAGGGGAATACCCTGCGCACGCTAAGTTCATATCAGGTCATTCAGGGCAGTGGGTTGAGGGGGAGTTTGCATACACAGGGTCGCAGAGCTGTCGAGGAACACCATCAAAGTCTTCATGATGGGTATCTTGTAAATGAAGTGGGAGACAGATCTGAGTTTAGAGCAAACCTGGGACTAATGAAAGCAAATTCTGTTTGCTGTAGTACAGATTTAATCCACTTGCTGTACCACATGGTGGGGGATTTAACATATCAGGGCAACTCAGTTAAAGTCTGGTGAACCTACACACCCACAAGTTGAACTGAACCTCGTATAGATTAGATTTGACCCAACAGGTGCTAGAGCTTAGAAACAGAAGTTAACTGAGGAGAAACACACTCAGATTGGTGAAATAAATTCATCTAACATCAGCTTTTATTAATCAGGCTTCAATAAAGGTCTGTGGCTGAAAGCTCACAGAAAAGTTGCATGTGTTTGTGTGGAGATTTTTTTTTTTAGGTTTTAGGGTTTTTTGTTGTGTTTTATGTTACATTAAATATTCTACCAAATAATCTCTATCAATAACAGCTCATATACTACATCGCAAAATGTATAAATGTAATTTATCATTGTCTTGCAGAAATGTACAATGCCTGTTTCACATGAATACTCCCTACAAATTATAACAAATTTACTTTGTTTATGGTGCTAAATTTCCTCTAGTAATTTTCACTGTGATCTATAACCAAGGACAATTTTATAATAATTTTATAAAATGTTGCATCCCCTTTCTAAGAAACCACACAGCAAAACTATTTTCTGTCTGACCTGACATCAATTTGTTTTACTGACAGTGTAATGGACCTAATGACTTGTTTTTGGGATTAACTGCTCTGTTACAGTTACTGTGAAGGAACAGGTTACAATAATCCCACAGTGAGTAATGCATTACTGTGTAAACCCCGACATGGCCGGTGTTTTCAGGTGAAGGAGATTAGCCAAGCTGTGTCGTAGGGGAACTTCCTTCTCGGTGGAGGGAAAATCTGCTGCCAGGTCACTTCCTCTCTCTACTAGCATCTTTGTATGGATGATGCTGTAATCTTGAGTTCAGGTGGAGTTCATTCATCAGCTTGTCCCGAAAGAAAACAACTTTATTTTTCTAATCCGTCCTGAAGCTGCAGTGAAAATTGTAACCTGAAGATAGAAAACAAACACATTCTACAAGCATCATATTTACAAGTCGATATATGACCCTTTCTCCTGATATTACTGATTTTAATATTTGCTCTGATGTTTCTTATAAAGGCCACAAATGGATACATGTTCTAATTGCTGTTGTTGTAATTCCTGCTGGTCACCAGCAGAGGTCAGTAAAGGTTATAGATATATACATTACAGAAGATTGTGAATTTTGAGAAATTTCACTTTGAAAACTTCAAAACATGCCCCTGTCCCAACATTTTAGGAAGATGTTGCAGGCATCGAATTCAGAATGAACGTATATTTAAAAAGAAGCAATGAAGTTCATCAATTTTAACACTGAATATCTTGTCTTTGAACTTTATTCAATTGAATATAGGTCAATAAGGTTTTGCAAATCATTGCATGTTATTTTAATTTTTTACACAGCATCCAAACTTTCATTGAATCAGGAGTTGTCCTTTATAATATAGTATATTTAAATTCTCATATTTTTGTGGTTTTAAAACTAAACTCAGTCTGTTTTTAATTCCAATTGTAAAAAGTCTATTTTTAAAAATTTTGTTGTGAATTTTTATATAGCTGAAAATGGAATAAACAGACATTTCTATAATTTACAAAAAACGTGTTTATTGAAAGAAGAGACCACAGCTTTGCTGAATGACAGTCACATCTAAAACTATATAAAAATACTGATCAAAATAAAACATCAAGTTCACGACTATGTAACAGAACAGCAGGTGCACATCTGTAACTGAAATGTTTCTGACATGCTTCTAACACTAAAACCAGAAGAGTTTCATTCAGTGCCTGTGTCTCATTAATACTGACACAAACACAGGCATTAACAGACTTTTACACTGAAATCTATTCAGACTTCCTGTCCATGGCTCAAAGCTGGTTCCTGTACGTGCGGATCTTGCGGCTGAGTCTGCGAGCAATGCGGTCGACAGCGCTGCTGATGTGTCCCAGCTCCTTTTTGGACGTCAGACCCTCGATGTTTCCGCTGTACCACAACACCCAGCCAGCCAGGGACATCAGCACAAACAGAGCTCCTGCACACAGATCAGATCAGATCATCAGTATGATGGCACATCTTATAAATCACTATACACACAGCTGGATAACATGCCAAGTAGTTAAAAAAAACACAGAAGCATTATCATGTTACATCTGCATGAGTAGATACAGTAAAAAAAACACCACTTAATCCCTGTTTCATGGAGTAGCTTAATTAAAATGTGTAATTTTACTTGTTCTATTATTTCCACCGGTAGTGGCAATGTATATACACCAATCAGCCACAACTTTAAAACAACTAACAGGTGAAGTAAATACCATGAATCATCTCGTTACAATGCATTGTTCTGCTGCAAAGAGCTCAAGGCGTCAACTTGGCCTCCAAATTGCCCAGATCCCAATTTGATCTAGCATCTATGGGGTGTGCCTGTACCAGAGAGGTCCTGTGTCCATGCCTCGCCAGGTCAGATCCAAGTCCGATCAACAGTGGGGCATCTGACTGTCAAGTGAGGAGTGAGGGATCTTTTAAGCACTGTAGGTTGCGAGGTTGGGTACCTGCACGTTCCACAGATGCTCAATCAGATTGGGATCTGGGGAATTTGGCGGCCAGGTCGACGCCTTGATCTTTTTGTAACATTCCTCAGGCCATTCCTGAGCAGTGTTTGCAGTGTGGTGTGGCACATGGTCCTGCTGGGGGGGTCACTGCCATCAGGGACTTGTACTTAGTCTGCAGCAGTGTTTGGGGAGGTGGTGCATGTCAGGACCCAAGGTTTCCCAGCAGAACATTGCATTATAACAAGATCAATGTTATTCACTTCAGCTGTCAGTGGTTTTAAAGTTGTGGCTGATTGGTTTATTTTGAATATTGTGGATTTCTTTTTAATAAAATGTTATATTTGCACTCTTGCTTGCTTTATACTGTAACTGCTGAGGCTGGGGCAATTATGTCATGCCTGTATAGACCAGTAAGTCTCCAAAGTCCTGCCCTTTGATCTCCAGGGGGGCAAAGACTCCCACCAGCAGAGAGGCTCCTCCCAGTAAATCCATGAACACAGCAAAGGCCAGAGCCAGTTTACAGTGGGAGAGGCCGTCACACAGGCCCATAATGAAACTGTGGAGGAGAGAAAAGTGGAAAAAAGACTGTTATAACCAGAACATTGGGAACACATGAAAACTGCAGTTTTCTGCTGCTTTATTAGGACAATTTAATTTTATCAGAACATAGAAAAATGCCAATCTGATGTTGTCAGTATGATGTTGAGAGTGTAACTCTAGTATCTAAAAAAGTCTGTAATGAAACCTGCCTTTTCCTGACCTAAAGACTAGGGCTAAACAGTATATCGATATCAGTATATGAAACAGAATATTGTCCAAGATTTTGGGCATTCAGTTCAATTTAATTCAATTCAATTCAATTTATTCCGAGGGAAATTCTTGTGCCAGAGAATGCTTCAAATACACTAAGCAGTTACTACACTACAGTAACACTAAGTACAGTAACCACAATTTTAACAATTCACAACCTGTAACAACCAGCGGGTTCCCCTGGTCACTCACTGGGCCCAGTTTTAGAACAACATTAGTATTAAATATCTGAAATTAAAAACAAATGTCAAAAAATATACAAGATAGATGTGTTTTCAAGGAGCAGAGGCAAAAACCACTCCTTAATAGAGTAACAGTAGGGGTAAGACAGGTACAAGAGTTACTAAAAATGAACTAAAACAGTGGAAAAAACTAAAATGGTGGGAAGAAACAGATACTCCTGATAATCAATGTTACACTAAATATGATATAACAGGGAAGCTGTATTGTGCATGACTGAGAAAATGATGTTGCGCTACACTGACACTACATATATACAATATTGTAAGTGTTGTATTTTCCTGGTTTTAAAGGCTACATTATGTGATTTTCTGAACTCACCAGACTGTTGTGGCTGTTCATTCATCTGGCATTATTTGCCTTACCCACTCAGTCATTATATCCACATTACTGGTGATTATTTTACAAACTCTCACCATGTTAATATTTTGTGAAAGCACTAATAGCCAACCCTACAATATTCTCACAAGAGTCCATCCATCCATCTCATCCACTTATTAGGGGCCTTGTCGTGGGGGCAGCAGGCCAAGCAAAGCACCCCAGACGTCCCCCTCCCCAGCAACGCTGTCTGACTCCTCCTAGGAAATCCCGAGGTGTTCCCAGGCCAGATAAGATATGTAATCCCTCCAGTGTCCTCTGGGTCTACCTCAGGGCCTCCTACCAGTGGAACGTGCCTGGAACACCTCCAACAGGAAGTGTCCAGCGTCATCACAATAGTGTTTATTTTAAGAAATATCGATTTATCGATACATATCGATTCTGAATGTTTGATATTTCAATACTCATTTTGCACACTATCACTATGTATTTCTCTGTTGTTAAAAATTATACATTTTATACCCTCAATGTCAATTTTTCCTGTGGTATCGAATGTTATTTATTTATTTTATTTTTCTTATTTTTTCTGATTTTACTTAAATAAATGCAGGACTTTTACTTGCAACAGAGTCATTTTACAATGTGGTACTTTTAGTAGTACTGTTATTCAAGAAAGGGATTAGAAAATTTTCTCCACCACTGATTAACTGTTTCAGCTCGAATCAATATTAGCTACCATTAATGGACTACCAGCTACCTAACTCCATTGGGATTCTGCTCAATTTAGATAGTTTTGATGTATGAAATGATTTAGTCAGGACCTCATAATGTCTGTAGGTTTTCTGAACAATACACTGTGCATATGTCCAAATAATGACCTGCGCCCTATTTCAGAAGGCAGAATTAGTGAAAACTCTGAGTATGTTGAACCTGAGATGAGGGAAACTCTGAGTTTTAATGTTTCACAAAGCCAGTTCTGCGCATCACATTACAGTCTTTTCCCATCACACCTCACGCTGTTTAGCTGCAGCTGATGTAATAGATTTTTTTTCATGTGAACATACTCAGAGTTGATTGAACTGATTCTGATCAGCTGTTCTGGAACCGAAAACTCAGAGTTTCCCAGCTCAGGCTCAGCTCAGGCTCAGCTCAGGCTCAGTCAACTCAGAGATCAGGATTAGGCTCAGAGTTTGTTGAGCCTGCTTTCTGAAATATACGGAGACCGGGAGGTGACATGCATATGTTTTTGTTTTGTTTTTTTTCTCGTTTTAACGGGGTCATCCCTATGTTTCCAGGGTTCTATGTTTCCCGGGTTCTATGTTCCCCACTTAACCCTGCAAAAAAGGTTCTATGTTCCCTGCTTACACAAAAAGGGTTCTTTGTTTCCCGCTTGGTTGAGCGGGCAACATAGAACCCGGGAAACACAGAACCTTTTTTGTGTAAGCGGGGAACATAGAACCTTTTTTGCAGGGTTAAGTGGGGAACATAGAACCCTTGAAACATAGATATGCTCCCATTTTAGCTCGCTCGCATGTTTTATTACTATTTCGCGCACGCGTTTTACAAAAGGCATGCTTGTTTTAATAAATCGCGCGATTTATTAAAACGCATGCGCGCCTGGCTATCAACATCTCATACTCCCACCAACTGCAGCAGGAGGACGGACATCAAGAGGACGGATACCATCTGTCTATAGCTGTGCATAGACAGATACATTAATTCACTGTGTAGTCCACTGTTTTACATGTTTGACATGTAGGCTATGTTCTTATACTGTGGTTCTGGCAGAAGCATCTGTACAGGTTTTGCAACCTCGATTTGAGTGTAGCTTTTCAGTAAATACCTTGAAAAAAAACTTTCATATGACATGTTGATGTTTCTTTATTTCCGCACTCTTCCCTTATCATTCACATTAATCAGGTCCACCGGAGCATTTAAAACAAACACTTCCTTCTGCTCCTTAGCTTTCCCCTCTTCCAAATGGACCAATATTGAACGCACAGCCTTTTCAACTATCTTTTTTTTTTTAAAAAAACGCGCGTGCGTTTTATAAAACGCGCGCGCGAATAAGAAAGCGCGCGTGCGTTTAAAAAAACAACAACATAGGCCTATATATGTCACCTCCCGGTCTCCGTAGAAATAGGGCCCTGATCACCTTAAAGTTTTTTTCTCACCCAGCTCCATGAACACAATCACAGCAGAGCAGCTCCCTCAGGTTTCTCACAAGGACGTTCAAATTATTCTGTCATATAATTAAACAAAACCTTTAATCAATACTCCCACTGTGACTCACTTATTGTTGTTCGACCAGCAGCATAAAACCGAGACCGTTGTGTCTATTTCTGAAGTCTCTCCCGTGGAGGTTCCCTCTTTTTCTCTTCCGCGTTTACCTTCTCAGATGTCACCTTCTGCATCTACCTGCGCACCGCCCCGCAGGTGACGCGTTTCCGGTCGGTCGCGTTCATATACTTTCAACCCTCCAACCTTTTCATGACAGACAGCTAGAAATAGGGTGGAGTCAGTGTTGAAGGTGTTTTAGACAGAACTTAAAAGTTTTTTTCTCCTTCAGGGGAAACACCGTTTGTGCGCATGCGCATACCGAGTCGTGGTACACCTGTTGAAGCCACTTATAATCAGGTAATTGCTGCTGCGGATGTGGTCGCAGCAGCTGAGGGTTATTTCAGGCTGTATTACAGGAGTATAACTGCACACAGAACTACTCAAGACTAATAATAACACGGTTACCACTTTAATTCACTTATTACTGCTCAGTGCTGCTCACCTGACGGAGCTATCAGTCATGAATCCTCCAACCAACAGAGACGATACACACCCGCCAGGTAACAGCAGCATTTAAATGGCGTATCCACCGTGTGCTACACACATACTGAAAGTTTCACTGCGTTTAAATGACTTTGAAATGTAACCTTAATGTAACTTCTGTTCATAGACTGTCTGTCTGATGATATTCTCTCCATAATGTAAGGCATGGCAGCTTCATTTGTATAGTACATATTATACACTGGAGCAATTCAAAGTGCTTTACAGAGCAATAACATATGAAACTTAATAAAGGGTACAGATTTACAATAAAAGGGTAAAGAAAAAAAGATGTTAAAGGTAAAATTAATTACTTAAAAATCAACATTGAAAAGAGCAACAGCAAACAAGAGGTGCAAAGCTAAAAAAGGATTATTTAAAATAATTTAAAATTGAGTTTAGAAATAAGTTTGCAGTCATTACAGAGTGGAGCAGACTGTGTAAAAAGGAATGTTTTCAGCCTTGACTTGAAAGTGGTTAGAGTCAGTGCTTATCTAACATCACCTGGGATTATTCCAGGTTTGTGCTGCATGATAACAAACGCTGCCTCACCATGTTTTGTTCTAACTCTTGGGACAGTCAGTAGACCGGCCTCAGATGTCCTCAAGGTCCTAGAAGGTTCATTAGCATGTCAGAGATATATTTGGGTGTTGAGCCACAGAGTGATTTATACACAAGCTGCAGGATATTGAAATCAGTTCTCTGAGTGACAGTGTAAGGATTGTAGAACTGGACTACTGTGGTCATATTTCCTAGGACCCAAGCAGCAGCATTCTGAATACGCTGAAGTTGCCAAACAGCTTGTTTTAATGGCCTACAAACAGACCATTGCAGTAGTCTAAACTGCTGGAAATAAAGGCCTGGGTGAGCCTTTCAAGGTCTTGCTTTTATTCCTCTGACTGTAGCAATGTTTTCAGATGTTAGTAGGCAGATGACGTTAAGGATTTGATGTGGTTGTAGACATTTAAATCGGAGTCCAGGTTAAAACCAAGGTTCCTTGCATGACTCTTGATTGTAAGAGAGTGGGCCTCAATGTGAGAGCTTATGCTCTGTCTTTCTTTCTGTGGCCCAAAGACAATTATATTGGTCGTATGTTGAGCTGGAGAAAATTTTGATGCATCCAATCATTGATTTGCTCATTACAGGGACACAGGTGTTCTACAGGTGACAATAATGTAGGAAAATATAGGGGAAGACACCCCCTTAAGAAAAAAGTAGGCTAAATTTACAGCAAATTTAAAAATATTTGGACAGGCTATGAGTTTAGCATGTGCAGGATGATGATGCAAAACCAACTGTCAGGAGAAATAAGAAAATCTTTCCCCACTACAGTAACAAGATGCCCAAAATCCCAACCCTGACCCACTGATTTATTATCTAGAGGCCCTGAAGCCTTTCCTTCAGGCACGTTGTTTTCATTTCAGGATGTCTTCCTCCAGCAAGCTTGCTAAAAATGTTGGCTAATTCTAGATTGGCAAGGCAGCTTTATTTGTGTAGCACATTTCATACACCAGGGCATTTCAAAGTGCTTTACGATAGCAATAAAACATAAAACATAATAAAGGATACAGATCTACAATAAAAGGTAAGGTAAAATTAATTACTAAAATATTAACAATTAAAAAAAAAATCACCATAAAAAAAAGCAAAAGTTCAGACAAGAGGTGCAAAGATAAAAAGATTATTCAAAATGATTTAAAATGGAGTTTAATAAAGTTGCAGTGCGGTTAAAATCAATAAAAGTATTAGAGTAAAAAAAATTACAGTGCAGCGCAAGAAATGAATAAATATTTGAGTTAATAAAAGGCAGCGGCAATTGGATAAGTCTTCAACCTTGATTTAAAAGAGGTGAAAGATGATGCAGACCTGCAGTTTTTGGGGGGTTTGTTCCAGATATGTGGAGCATCAGAACTAAGCACTGCTTCTCTATGTTTAGTCCTGACTCTGCAGACACAAAGCAGACCTGTCCCAGAGGACCTGAGAGGTCTGGTTGGTTCATAGTGTAGCAGAAGGTCAGAAAGGTATTTGGGCTCTGAACCATTCAGTGCTTTGAAAACCAACAGCAGTATTTTGAGGTCGATTCTCTGACAGACAGGAAGTCAGTGTAAAGACCTCAGAGCTGGAGCGATGTGATGCACTTTCTTGGTATTAGTGAGGCCTCGAGCAGCAGCATTCTGCAGATTTTTTTAGGGAGACCTGTAAAGACCCCATTACAGTAGTCAAGTCTAGTAAAGACAAATGCATGGGCATGTTTTAACAGATCCTGCTGAGACATCAGTCCTTTTGTTCTTGATATGTTCTTCAGGTGATATAGGCAGACTTTGTAATTGTCTTAATGTGGCTGTTGAAGTTCAGGTGTGAGACCATGACTTCACCAAGATTTCTTGCTTGGTCTTGACAGCTAGCAATGCTAATGATCGCTAGGGGCAAAAGGGCCCTTTTGTAAGGATGCTTCTTGCCAAGAGGGTCTTGGTCATTTACTAGAAAAGTAATAAAAAGTATGCTGATGAAATGTAATAAGTTACATTACTTTGATGAAAAGTAACAGGGTAAGTAGTGATCTGTAACCTATTAACATTTAAATGCATCCTTCCTAACACTGATTACCATTTATATATAAAAGCTTTTTATGTACAATTTAATATAAATACATAGATCAGTATCATCCAGTTGCAAAAAAAAACAGATCATGTTACTCTCAAATGGTTCTTGTGGAATAAATCTAAAGAATGCAGCAATTCAGATGAAATATCACAATTCACTACTAGAGCATAGCCACTTAATACATGTGCTGAGAGTAGATTTAGCACCATCTATTGGCTACCCTACCCTGTTCACTGGTTGTCAACCAGCAGTCCTAGAGCCCCAACAGTCCTTTAGGGAGTTCCAGGGTGTCCCAGAAAATGGGGAATGGTTTATTTTAGGGCTGCCAGCGTGCAATTAAGGTCCAATCATAACACGTTTTTTTTTTTTTAAATTGAGTGTATTTTGCCTGTGAATTCTGGTCATAATCATATCTAACAACCAAAATCTTTTAAGATGAAGGTCCCTGAAGCAAAATCTCATTAAATGGGGTCTGTGACGGTGAGGTTGGGCTCATCATAATCTCACTGTTTTCTATGTTATGGCTATTTTACCAGTGTTCTGTTTTGTTTATTTATTTCCACATGTTTTGTTTTTGAAATATAATTTTTAAATATTTTTATTTGGTGTTATTTTTATCTGTTTACTGTTATCTTCTATCTATCTATCTCTGCTATTTGCACCTTTACTTGATAATTTATATTTGCATTATTTATATTTGCAAAGCCTAGTGCTCTGGATAATAGGGGTGCACGATATTGGATTTTTTGCCAGTATATTTCAACTCATTTGGCTAATAACCGATACCAATATCAATTCATCCACTTCTTTCCCTACCTAATTTTAGTGATCATCACGTCTCTACTTTAGTGGCATTAACATCACGTTATACATGCATACTCTTATTGTGATGGCCCCCCAGCAGATGGAGACATGAAATACAATGCTTTTGAATGTTTGTAATATTTATTCATTGTGCAAAGTAAGCAAAAGCATGTTGGCTGATTCTAATAGTTGATTTTAAAGCCAATACTGATGACGTGCTGACATTATTGTACATCCCCACTAGATAAAGTTCTGTTTTCTCTTATTTCATCTATCTTTTATTATCTATTTTATGTGAATCATGAGCACCAAAGGAACGACCTTGATAAGTTATAACTTTATTAACTTTGTTATTAGAGCTGAAATTATTAGCCAGTAAACAGTGGGCGAATTAATCTGACACAACTTGCTGAGTCATTGTTTAAGTCAGTGATTTCATTATGCAAACATGCTAAACATTCTCAGGTTCCATCTTCTCAAATGTGAGGATTTTCTTCTTTACTCATCAATGGAAACTGAATATCTTTTGGACTCGGACTGTCAGTAGAACAACACAAGACATCAGAGAAAATCACCTTGGGCTCCAGGAAATTGCGATGACCAGTATCTTTGTTGTTTTTGGACATTTTATGAGTTTTGCAGAGGTGTTTAGCAACACAGATCACGATACATCTTGTCTTACAGTCAACTTACTGAGTAGATTTTAGCCTAAATAATAACTGATGTTTAATACTGTGCTCTGTGATGATAGCAGAGGAGGTGGTCTCTGTTTCATGCTATAAAACACTGTGGGCAAACTCTAGTTTCTAGACTTAAATCAAGTATTAAAAAATGAATCAACAGATTAATTTTTAATAAAATCATTGTTAGTTGTGGCAGGTTAAACGTGCTAATTCTCTGTTGTCTTGTGTGTTATTGTTAGAGCACTACATGCCCCACTCATCATCATCATCATCAGGAGGCGTAGGAGGAGGAGGAGGAGGAGGAGGTTTGTATCTGGATGCCTTTGAGGTCTCTTTCCCTCTGGAGGAGGGCATCGAAAGACCGCCCGCATATCACCTGAACCAGGGTCAGCAGGTGATGGAAGGTATGCCACAGCTACTACACATGTTTATGACCAGTTTCATAATGTAGCGGTAACATACTGAGATAGGTGGTTAATCAGCAGGTAACAGTTTTTAATGTTGCATTTAACAGAATTAATGAAAATAAAATTGGGCCATCTACTAAAATGGAAACTTGGGAATAGTTTCAGAGAGAATCATAATGATGATACTGTGACATTGTTGTGCTCTGCTGTTGTCTGAATGGATGTGTGCAGGTACATTTTCTTTAAAAAGAACTGTCGCTGAGGTCAGGGGGGAACACTTATAGTATATTAATGTATCTGATCTCCTCCTGCAGAGCCTGTGGTGCAGGAGCCCCCTCACTCTCAATACAGCCCTTTCATCCTGGTCTCCAACCTGCGAGCTCACCTGTACGTCACTCTGGAGAAGAACGCCTGGCTGCAGAAACGCATCGAGGAGCTCGAAGAGGAGCGCAACTTCCTGCGCTGTCAGCTGGACCGCTTCATTGTCAGCATGAGAGGTCCAGAGGGTGAGGAGTCAGCACTGCATCTGTCATATTAAGCTGTTAGACTGAAATAGAAATAAATAAATAGATAGATAGAAGTGAATATGATGGGAATGCAGAACAATAAACATAGCTACAGAAGACACACAGTAACACTAACAACTCTATAATATATAGAGTTACTCTTAGAGACTAAGGTGATTTTTCTGCATGTATGTATTTTGTTTTGCTGGACCTCTCACCAGTATTGTTATACAAACACACAGTGACAGAGTGGTGTGGAGAATCTCAGCGTGGTGTGAAGGTCCAGCTGTCCGCCTCTCCCTCCCCTCCTTCCCCCATGACCACCAGGTCTGGCATGACCCTTAAACGGCAGCAGGGACCAGGACCTCGGCCCCGCCGCAGCACCACCATCCCTGGTGAGCTGACACACAAGTTAAATAATCATTTATTGCTTTTTATTTTGTTAGAAATATTTAACTTTGACATTCAAAAGTTTTTTTTTGACTCTTCTTCTCCAGTTTTGACTTTTTGTTGATGTGCTCAAAATTTCACAGCGACAGTGAAGCAGGAGTTTCACCTGGAGGAGGATAAATACTACACTGAGGACGAGTATGTGGAGGAAGAGGAGGAGGAGGAGGAAGACGAGGACTCGTCACTGGAGAAGGGGTCAAAGAAGAAGGGCCGAGGGCGAGCCAACGGAGAGCCGAGGATGAAGATGAGGAGGATCTTCAGGATCACCCATGGGAGGGAGAGACAGAGAGGTAGGTACTACTCTACTGTACTGTGTACCCAATACAGTATAGTTTACAGGAAGACTTCCACCCACCAATGATCATTTGTATATCAGTTACTCACCCTCTGATGTGTTGAATTTGTGAAGAAAATTGTTTTCTTACGCCCCTCCGCTGGGCGGAGGCAGTGGTAGACCAGCAGCTCCTGTGTTCAGCAAGGTAAAATGACTGTTTTGTCCCCGCAGTGGTACTGCTTTCATTCACAACAACAGATGTACCAGCATTTTCCCTGAAATGTAGGTCAAAAGGTGGGAAATTGGTGATACAGATTTTTCTGAATATTGATCCCTGTTCCCATTCACACATGACCCCATCCAGGAAATGTTGCTGAACATTTCAGAGACACACCGCATGTGTGAAAGGGGCTTCAGTCTCTATGTTTTCTCCTCTCTCTGTCCCCCTCCTCAGTCAAAGACCCAGAGGGGGTTTTGATTCGTTATAAGAAGATCCTGACGACCTACCAGCGGGTGAGGAGCATGTCCCGAGCCTTCCATATCCACGGAGTCGACAGGAACACCATGGCCTCTACCTCCCCCATCGCCGAGCTGCTGCTGGTGGCTCCAGAGAAGGTCTTGATTATTTTAATGTTCCTCTTCATGATAGTTGACACGTATTTGGACTCAGTGATCCACTAAAATTACTCTTTATAGTGCTAGCAACCTACATACATCTTACTATATAATGACGAAAACTCTGTCTGTGTGTCTGTTCCACGTTTTTCTCCTCACTGACTCGGTCAATCCATGTGAAATTTGGCACAGTGGTAGAGGGTCATGGGAGGATGCGAATGAAGCAATATTTCATCAATTGGCCAAAGGGGGGCGCTATAGCAACCGATTGAAATTGCAAACTGTGAATGGGCATATCTCATGCCCCGTATGTTGTAGAGACATGAAACTTTGCACAGAGATGCCTCTCCTCATGAGGAACAAATTTGCCTCAAGAACCCATAACTTCCGGTTTTACAGATTTTCCGCCATTTTGAATTTTTTGAAGAACACTTTAAATCGATCTCTTCCTAGGAAGTTTGACTGATCTGCATGAAACTGGGTGAACATAATCTAGGGACCAATATCTAAAGTTCCCTCTTGGCAAAAGTTGGAAAACTTACTAAAACTGAGCTTCTATAAGGCAATGAATATTGCGGAGGGCGTGGCTCATCACATAAAGGTGTATAACATCTCAAGGGTTTCACCGATCACCACACAACTTTGTAGGCATATGACCACACATAATCTGAGGGGACCCCTCCGTTATTGACCCCATCAAACAAAATGGGGGCGCTAGAGAGATAATTTCTTATCTAGGCCTAACTGCCATATCGATTTTTACTAAACTTGGTAGATATGTAGAACAGGACACCTCAAGGTGACTGGAGAAATTTAACTCTAATTGACAACTTGGTGGCACTATAACAACAGAAAAATGCTTAAAAATGGCTAAAATGTGACTGATCGCTGTGGCTCCCCTTGTGGCCCAATGTTTGGGTTTTTTTTTTTCAAATTTTTGGTATGACTAAGTCATGGTATGGTATGCTGTACATAATCACGGAAACTGTCAGTGTGTCATTCTGTCAGTCAGTCATTCTGTCTGTCCCACGTTTTTCTACTCACTGACATGGTCAATCTATGTGAAACTGCACATAGGCATTGAGGATTGGCATAGGTAGAAGGTGACAAAGCTACCAATGGGTATGCACTAGTATGTATAATTCATACAAAAGTATACACTGAAAAATGTTGGTTTTTTTGTAGTTGGGAGCAGATTTATTACTCGATTAGAGTTCTGCGTTAGGTTATGTGACATTGTAGGCATTTAGTTTATCCAAGGCTTCCAAATTATTTAGTAAATTACAACTTAAGTTTTCTAATCACTTGTCATATCACAGATGGTTGCTAAAAAGGGTCCTAAATACTCAACTGAGCCCAATTTCTGTCCTTAAATTACAATTGCTCCCTAAAAAGAAGCTGTCTTGAGTCTTAAGAAGAGTTTGAGTGTTTTCCTGGTTGCTAGAATATTTAAAATATTTGACTGTCTGCTGTACCAACTGTCATTTTTTCAACATTTAAAATTTCTATTGAGGTTTTCAAATAAAGTTTTGAATGTCTGTCGTCATATTTTAGGACATCACCTCAAATACAATAAAAAATTCTCAAACAAAATCTTCAATTTGAAAAAAACAAATTCATTGGATCAAATTAGTTAGTCTTTCTTTATTAAATTAACTTTCTTTAACAAGTATATCTTGTTTCCATCCATGTTTTAGGCAATGTGCGCATAAAAAACCTGAGTAGAAACAACAAAATTTCAAAGAAATAACTTGAAATATTGTAAAACTATTTTCATGTTTGGGGGAGGTGGAAAAGTTGGTGTATCAGTAAAAGCAATAAAAATGCAACTAGGTGCTATGGAAGCAGATTCAGCAAATATGCCCACATTGATTCTGAGTGGCTCATAATGAATGCAGCAGAAGAATAAAAACCGCAATTCTACTGAAACATTTTTGAACAAAGTCAAGTTTTTACCTCCGCAGCAGGATTATAGCCAGTTAATTGAAATTTCCCTTGAATTAATGAACAGTTGTGCTGTTCCTGCAGATGGCGGAGGTCGGGGAGTTCGAGGCATCGAAGGAGAAGCTTTTGGATTATGCCCGGCGGTGCTACAAGACCATGGACGACCAGACGCATGCCAAGGTTCAGGCCATGAAGAAGACCCACAAGCTGCTGCCGATCTCCTACAGGTTCAGAAACTGACTGACAGGAGGGATGAGGAAGAGGGAGGTTTCTGCACTCAACTTTGTTTTCAGATTTTTGTTATGCACTTTTTCAACTTTTGTTTTTGTTTCCGTACAGTAAGAAGATGTAGGAAATGTGAAAATACGAATATGAGATGCCAAATTACAGGATTAGCAGTTGAACATTTCTACCAACATGCTGCCTGATTTATACTTGTGATTTATTTCTTTTTCGTGCAGCTGATATGGTGGGAACCTTTTTTTTTGTATTGAAGATTGTGATTTTCACTGGAGGTTGAAATTATTTGAAGTTACTTTTTGCTTTACCTCAGGAATGAACAAAGTCAAAGAAGACACAGTATATTGTGAATTATGATGTTCATTTCAAAGCATACTGACTTTTCGAGTTTGTAGAATATTGTTGCTTTGGGAGTATTTACAGAGCTCAGATGTTTGTTTTCTAGAAGGACTGGCCCTCATCTTTTTGTTTTGTATTAAAAGAGGGAGAAATATTTATTTGCTTTATTAATTTTTGCAACAGAATTTTGTTGTCAGAATGATTATTCTGGGAAATATGTACATTTAATATGTATCATTAAGAAGAACATATGTTAATATACAAATTATATATTTAATCTGAGTTGGCCAGATGAGCATGCTGATCAAATTTTCTGAACTGTGTGATATTAGAAGGTTTAAAATGTCACATTATGCAAGAAAGTAAATGACTTTAAATGTTCAGTTGTTGTGGGGTGTTTTTTAAATCAGGACACAGTTCATGCAGCCCAGTCGCCAGAAGAAAATGTTTGTGTTACATTTCTGCAAACCACAACTATGTTATACAGTCCCTGACAAAAGTCTTGTCGCTTATCCTAGTTGTAGGAACAACAAATAATAACCTGACTTGTAGTTGATCAATTGGGATCAGAAATAGCTTATATGAAAGGCAAAGGCCTTTAGATTATGCTTATTATACCAAAATAAAGTTGTGTATCATTCATTGAGTTTTATCATTTAATTAGGACAGAAAGGTCAGATCTTGCTTGGACAAAAGTCTTGTCGTGTCTTTAAACGATTCAACCAATCACAGATTAGAGCTCCACCTGTGACAAATACTGTAATTAACACATTCCCAGGTGTGTATAAAAAGAACCCCAGCACACCAGACCTTCATGTGAAGTGCAACCTGACCGCTGACAACATGCCAAAGATTCAACCACAGACCAAAGTGCTGATCATCAAGAGCCTGAAGACCAAGTCTGCTGCTGAGGTGGCAGACATCTTCAGTGTATCCAAACGTCAAGTGGAGAGGATAAAAAAAAGATTTGAAGAAACTGGTGACGTTCATGACAAGCCCAGGTCAGGCAGACCCCGTAACACAACTGTTAGAGAGGACCGTTTGTTGCTTCGGCAGTCCAGGGCCAGCCCTTTTTCAACTGCAGCAGAGCTATATCAGAACTGGTCACCAGAAACCCCTGTATCTACCAGAACAGTTTGTCGAATTCTCTCACGCAATGGTCTCCATGGCCGAATTACTGCTCACAAACCAGCATTAAACAGAAGACAACAAAAGAATCGTGCTGCATTTGCCAAGGCCCACAGCTTGCAGAAAGGATGGACAGTGGAAAAGTGGCAGAAGGTTGATTTTTCTGATGAATCATCCATTGAACTGCATCCCAATCGCCGCAAATACTGCAGAAGACCTGTTGGAACCCGCATGGACCCAAGATTCACCCAGAAAACAGTCAAGTTTGGTGGAGGAAAAATCATGGTTTGGGGTTACATCCAGTATGGGGGTGTGCGAGAGACCTGCAGAGTGGATGGCAACATCAACAGCCTGAAGTATCAAGAGGTTCTCGCTGCCCATTACATTCCAAACCACAAGAGAGGGCAAATTCTTCAGCAGGATGGTGCTCCTTCTCATACTTCAGCCTCCACATCAAAGTTCCTGAAAGTGAAGAAGGTCAAGGTGCTCCAGGATTGGCCAGCCCAATCACCAGACATGAACATTATTGAGCATGTCTGGGGTAAGATGAAGGAGGAGGCTTGGAAGATGAAACCAAAGAATCTTGATGAACTCTGGGAGTCCTGCAAGACTGCTTTCTTTGCCATTCCAGATGACTTCATCAATAAGTTATTTGAGTCATTGCCGAGATGTATGGATGCAGTCCTCCAAGCTCATGGGAGTCATACACGATATTAATTCTTTTTCCCAAGGCGCCATGACTTTATGTTCTGATGTTATTGGAGCATGTGTGTGTATTCAACACAAAGTATCATTTCTACAGTACATTATTTTTGTATGCGACAAGACTTTTGTCCAAGCAAGATCTGACCTTTCTGTCCTAATTTAATGATAAAATTCAGTGAATGATGCACAACTTTATTTTGGTATAATAAGCATAATCTAGAGGCCTTTGCCTTTCATATAAGCCATTTCTGATTCCAATTGATCAACTACAAGTCAAGTTATTATTTGTTGTTCCTACAACTTGGATAAGTGACAAGACTTTTGTCAGGGACTGTATTTTCAAGTTTCATGCACATCAGAGCAATGTGGGGATGAAGGTGGAAGAGGGATGTCTTCTGTTAGGCTGGTCTGGGAGGATGAGCGGAGGGAAACGAAGGTTCCATCTCAGGCATTTTTCCCACCTGAGGTGATTACAGGCCCCCAGACGGTACCTAGAATGAGATATGGGAGAGGTATGCACTAGACTGAATATGGCGAGATAATGGAGGAGGGGAAGAGAGGATGAAGAATTTAGGAAGGGAGGATGATAGATTAAGGGAAGGGAAACGGAGGGCGGGTCGAGAAGTCTGAGACAAACAGAGGTGTGGTTGAGGCACGGCCCTGCTCCTGAACCTCCATCCATCAATCCATTTTCATCCGCTTATCCGAGGCCGGGTCGTGGGGGGTCGAGCAATGCACCCCAGACATCCCTCTCCTCCAGGTCCTCCTGGGGGACCCCAAGGTGTTCCCAGATGAGATAGGCCTATGTAATTCCTCCAGCATGTTCTGGGTCTGCCCCGGGGCCTCCTACCAGTGGGACATGCCCAAAACACCTCCAACAAGTGGCGCCCAGGAGGCATCCTGATCAGATGCCCGAACCACCTCAACTGACCCCTAGCCACGCAAAGGAGCAGCGGCTCTACTCCGAGCTCCCTCCGGATGTCTGAGCTCCTCACCCTATCTCTAAGGCTGAGCCCAGCCACCCTTCTGAGGGAACTAATTTCGGCTGCTTGTATCTGCGATCCCATTCTTTCGGTTACTACCCAGAGCTCACAGACATAGGTGAGGGTTGGGACATAGATGGACCTCCTGATCCTAAGTTAACAAATTAACTTCATTAGTATATGAGCTGACTTAGTCATCAGGAGGAGAGGGGTATGGTGGGTTGCGTGTCACCTAGACGAGATGCCTGCCATGCTGCAGACCACTGTTAGAGACCACAAAACTAGTTAGTCTTCAGTGAGTCATTGTTGTGTTTCCAGCAGCTTTTCAGACCCCAGATTTGGGTTTTTAGGGACCTGTTACTGGACAAACAGAGGTTGCTTTTTGCAGAGACATTGCTGCTTTTCCAGCAAGGATTGTGCAACCTAATCTCAGTATTTTAGGCCAAAATATGATCTTTTCTTAACTCTAACCAAGTGTTTTTTGTGCCTAAAGCTAAGCACACATTAACCACAGCAATATTGAAACATACAGTCTCAACAATTCTGCTACATAATAATGCGCAAATGTAACTATCCATGGTGCCAATATTTTTTCATGGCGACAGGGTTGATTTATGTATATAAATGGAAATATGGATTCAGCCTTTTGAGTCTAGCATTCAAATACGAATATGAGTAATAATGCCACAACCACTTTACACTAGACTCCATTTTACATTTTGCTCTTGTCAAGGAACTCTGAAGGTGACTGCAACAACTGGCAGTGATTCAGACAACACATCCATATAAAATGGCGGCATCACGAAACCAGATTTTACATTTGGAAAATTTATCAGTGATCAAGATCTGAAGAAATAAATGAGGTTGCCAGATTTTGCTGAAAATATCTTATTTATGCTGGTGTGTACCCTACTGTGAGTTGTCAGTGTGTACTTCATGGCAGCTTGCAGACTGCAGCGCCCTCCAATGGAAGAAATGTACAGGTTCAATTCACAGGGTTACAACAAACAAGTCAAGGCTGACCTGATGAACAGTGTCTGAAATTATGATTTGGAACCCAAAACAGATTTAACACCAACTTCAGTACATTGTAGTCGGTTATAAATGGTTTATAAATCACTGAAGGAACATGACACAGTGGAACTTTTTAGAAATTACATTTTTAAGTAGATTTTTTATTTATTTACTTTTTTTTATTATTTTATTGTTAGTAGTAGAAGCAGTAGTAGCATTTATTTATTCATTAATTATTTATTTCAATAGGTTGGGGTTTTTATCATTCATTCATTCAACTTCTATTTATAATCAAGGGATCATTGAGGGGCAACCATTTACAATCATGTTGAGTCATTTACAAAAACAAAGACAAGGAAAACAACCATTATTTAAAAAAAAATGCTGTTAAAGCTTTCCAGTTAGGGAAAATAATTTGATAGATAAATAGTAACAATAAATAATAGAAAGGATAGTTAAAATGAAAAAAGCCCTGAAATTTTGCAATTTAGTCCTCTGACCAAATACTAATATTTTAACCTTTATTCCTATTTAAACAGCATGTGTTTTACTATGAAAACGAACTAGACTTCCCTAAATTTGTAATGAATGCATGAATGAACGAGCTTCCAGAGACCTTTGACACTGAGTCATAGGACTGATGCCTTGCACAGAACTGCACTGTCACCAGGAACTCTGGGATGTTTCAGACCGCCACTATTCCCATGTTGAGACATAATGGAGTCATTTAAGAAAATTAGTGTCATAGTTAACCAGTTTGGTTTTGAACCTGCAGTCAGCGACCCTCATTATGATTCATGAACTCACATGTTTATAGTTGACCTGTGTGCTCCAGCTGCCAGGTGCTGGATATTATTGTGATTGATGAAAATGGCCAGTTATTGATCAGACTTTAAAGGCTCCATTGTGCTGACAGTTGCTGACCCCTGTGGTTACTTCAGCCTTGCTGCTGTGTCTCTGTCACAAAAAGAGCCCAATCAAATTATTGCTAACAAAAAAAGAAAACTACATCAATTATTGGACATCACCACAAAAGCCCAAAACAAACTTCAGTGCTATTTGGCCCTAAACAGACAGAACACGACTGCAAACTATCTGACCGCTGTGACAGATCAGAAACTGAGAAAGATACTGACTCAGTGATCACAGCCTGGACATAGAGACCGGCAGACACAGGCAGACCTGGCTGTTTAGAGAAGACAGACTGTGTCGGCTCTGTCCTCAGAGACAAGTGGACCCAGAGCAACATTTCCTGCTACATCAATCTATCTATCTATCTAAAATCAAGGACTTAAAGCGGAGGGGAACTCCATCTCCCACAACACCCTGCGGCCGACAGAGGGGGGGCGTGAACCTAGCCTCAGTGAGTTTACCCTTTAACCTTTCCAAACAGTCCAATCAGAGCGGGAGTTATCCTGGAAGTAGTAAAATCGTCCTCTCTTGACGGACAACGAGTTTCAGCGAATAGGAGTACGGGAGTGCCGCAGCGGACCAATCACAGGCGAGGTAGGCGGGACTCCTGTCCAACAGGGCATCGGAGGAGGAGGTGTTCCTGGTAGCCATCTTGGATGTGCGGAGTGATTGTTTAGCGAGAAGATTTTTTATTTTTTTAGAAGAATATCCTTTACTCCGAATCGCTAAAGATTCGCCGGAGTGGGGCGACTCAGGAAAGAGATACTCCGCAACTCGGGAAAATAAAGGTAAATTTGTCGCGGACTCAGAGGTGATGAATTTATGTGTCTTCCCCCCCTTTCACTCTTTGCCTCTCTCTCCTTTCCAAATTGTGTTTCCCACATCAAACAGCGCAGCCGGTGGGAAGCTGCAGCTCTTTGCACTGACAACACATCAACTTGTGTGTTTGCACTTTAGAAACGGAAAAGCACAACTTTCTGTGCGGCGCCGCCGTGTGTAAACTTTAGTTTGTTTGGAAGTGTATGTGCTCGGATGTTGGTGCCCACGGGCTGCTGTTGGCACTTAGGATGCCCGCGTTGTTTATAAACATCCCGGGCTAACAAATGTTTGTCCCTCGGTCCGAGATCATGGCTTGGTTGTTGGAGTTAGCTAGCTCTCCGGAGAACGGTCTACTTTTTAGATTAGGCAATAAAATGCCCGAGAATCAGGCAGTAAAAATGTCAGTTTGTCCGAACTCAACTGGGCAGTGTGGACGTATGTGAGCAGGACACGGGGGCCTGTGTCCAGATGTTTGCACCTGTTTGGAAAAGTAATGCTAAAGCTAACTTACTCTTTAGTTCTGTCTGTTTAAGTCGTCTTAACCTAGCTATGGTGCAGCTACAAAACCAGGGCATGCAGGTGTGATCTGTGTCAAAGTCACACTTTGAACTACGCGATTGTTTCAAAGCTAAGTTCAGTTCTAAGAAAATAGCTAAGCTGACAAAGTGTTTCTTTAGAACCAGTGTATTAAGTTAATTACACATCACACCAGAGCTGGTTAGTCGAGTAAAATAAAATAGTTTCTTCTTAAGTAGCCTGCATCTTAAAATGTGAGAATTTAAAGCTTTTTCGTGTCATTAAATGATAAATGAAAATATTTGGATTTTTGGAGTGTTGGTCAGTACCATTTAAAGACATCACCTTCGGCTCTGAGAAATTACACAGGGCATATTACTATGTTCTGATATTTTATTGGCAATAGGGATAATTTGAGATTGTACTGCAGGTTAAATAATGATGGAAATAATAATGAGCTGCAGGCCTATATCAGACAAACCATAAAAGAATCAAGACAGAAACAGAAATATCTAAATTTTACTATCTAAAGTGTATGGGTGTAAACAAAAGTAATTTAGGCCAAGGTTTTAGCCATCATAATACGTTCCATTATCATACTCTGTAGTGCTATCAATGGGAAAGATCACATCTGTATGATTATCACATAGGACTCAGTTTATATTTCTGTATATTTCTGGGGATCTTGTTACTTTATTGACAGCAGCAGTAGAGACGAGTCAGGAAAATGAAGGGCAAGAGGTGACAGGAAACAAAAGTTCCCATCAGGACTCAAACCAGTGACGTTGCATTTATATGGTCATCATCCTAAATGCTTGGGCCATCGGGACACCTTGATACAATCAGAAATTAACGCAAAAGGTTGGCAGTGTTTTGTATTTTTCTTATCAACAAATTCCATGGAAAGACCAAATTCAACCATTTAATTTATCATACTAGACGTCACTATCAGCTGACATTAGATTACCATGGATGTATCTGCACTGGGATATTTTCAAGGCTAAGTTTGTTATATGCACAAAAATTAAAGTGGAGCAGTCGTCTGCAAATAAAACCTTGTTCTCTGGCTCCTTCCACCAATGGTACAATAATTTGTATAAAAGAAACCCACAGTTAAAATGAGAATCCAAGACATAAGGTATCAACCACAAAATTGTGCAGAAATTAAAATATAGGAGTAATATATACTGTGGTAGATGGAAATATATAAATTATAAAAACTCCAGTGTGTGCAGGCACAGCTTAAATCCTGCAATAAATCCCACCCTCATTAGAGGGAAACTTTGCTGATTTTCAACCAGCTTTGTATCACAACAATGTGAGTAGTATGTATAAATGAACTGTGGTAAACTGCCCTCCATCTTACCAGAGCCCAGACGTCTGCTGGGTGGCGCGTTTACAGTCATTGGAGGCTGTTGCTCAAACCACTGATTGTAATTCCTTATGTTTGTATGCCTGCCGCCACCATGGACACCAAGATGATAGAGGGAGATAGAGAATGAGGGCCGCACTACGGATGCAGTGATCCGGATCGCAGATAGAAAATATGCTGTGATCTAGCCAAAAAACGTGGATCGGATCGGATCGCACTGCAGGGGAAAAGTGTGATGCTAGCACTGCGATACTAGCACTCCATTCCACAGATCTGCTCCAGCTTTTCCGTCCAGCACTTCATTGTAACACACAAAGAAGAGAGGAGAGCGGGAGGGGGAGGTCACGTGATAACAACAGCCGGGTGAAAAACAGCGTGGATAGCTGAAAAAAATGTCAGCGGTGTGGCAGTACTTCCTTCTGAAAAGCGAAAAAGACAGAACGGCCGAATGCAAAACATGTATTAAATGTATAAATGTGTAAAAATTTAAATATCTAATAAATGGCTCATGTTTTGTCATAATAACCTACTGTTGTGGACTACTCATCCCGGGAAGTATGTTATTCTCATTTTGAGTAATAGCACTTGATCAAGCCTTTTCTATTATTCCACATTACAAAATAAGTACTAAAAAAGTGAACCTAGAGAGAGAGAGTCAGAACAGAGAGATATAAATATGCGCTGGTATCGGATCGGTACTAGGGCTGTGGTATCGGTATCGGATCGAAAGTGAAAAAGTTGGATTGCAGCATCCCTAAGCCGCACAGACATGAAAAGTCCTGTAAAGTTATGAAATTAGAAAAACAGTTTTCCAGGCCTGGAAAGGTTTAGTATTAATAGAATGTTTTGGGACAGATTTGGATATACATTGTTTTGGCTATTATTTAAATTATGTTCATAAAAATTCTCAAAAAATGTCAAACTTTAAGGGAAAAACATTCTTTGTATTGCTCGTTGAAATCTCGTGCTGTGCTGCATGAACATTGTAATATCACTAGTGTCACGTGATACATATGGACCAGACCATCATTGCATTATCGCATCATCGCCAAGGCTACACCCCCTTTTGAGGGAAAGAAACATACTGTCACATCAGGAGGAAAACTGGAAAATGATGAAAAGCCATTTTGTAGCAGGTTAACCAAGACTTTATGAAGTGCGCGTATGTGCAAGTCTGGTCTACTTGCATATGCAGCTACTTGGCGAGTATAACCGAGTATACAAAGTGCTTTGATAAGCAAGGCACGAGACTAAACAAGATACTCAGAAGGCAATACAACAACAGAACGCCAAATAGTCCTACCAAACATAAGTGAGACAAAATAAGGGTCGAGTGAGGATAAAGCACAAGAGGGCAAAAAATGCAAAATGCAGGACACAAAATGTCAGTATAAATAATATGTATATATTATTGATTTCATTATGAATTAATATTTCTGTTATTTTTTCCCCCCTGTTAAAGGTTTTTTTTTTTTTTTTAGTTTGTGATTAGATTGTGATTTGTGATATTGGGCTTAATGAATACAATTTACATTAAATTTAACTGAAATAAATGCAAATAAACAGACCAAAAGCAATAAAAGGACAAAATTAAAAGGAAATAGATAAATAAATAGACGATACAAATAAAAGTAAGTCTATCAAAATGGGTTTAAAGAAATGATTTAAAAGAAACCACAGATTCTTTGAGCGTTATCTCCACAGACAGGTTATTCCAAAGCCGAGGGGCCCTGATGGCAAAAGCGCAATCAATTCTGTTATGTAGCCTGGGGCCAGACCAAGATGAACTTATATATAGACCTAACTATTTATAATTTGAATAAAGTCATGGAAATGGAATCAAATATTTGGGAAAAGTTTTGAAAATAGAAATATGTGGGAACCCTCTTTTTTCCTCTCTCTCAAACTCAGACCAAACTCCGTCCAGAGGATGAAACTAGGCAGTGCTGATCAATTATAAACCAAGATTCTGTTACTTAATTGTCTATTTCTCAGTATGAGAGTTTGTGAACATGAAGTGGCTGCCATGTTGTTTCCTGTGTTGTTTTACATACAGGCTGAAAAAATAAGATCAAACGGTAAAACTAAGCAGCACTGATAAAATGTGAAAGATTCTGATACTGCATTTCCTATTTTTTGTTGAAAATGTTTTCAGAAAACGGTTTTACGTTAATTGGAGATTGTTTGTTACCAGCTAGCTGCCATTTTATTAACGGACAGGCAAGTCGTATAATGTTACGCATGAGCGTTTTATTGGTCTTGTGCGGCACAGTGCCATCTAAAACTAATCTCACAGACAGCCCTGCAATAAATCCTACATTTGTGTATATGTGCACATGTTTATTCTGCCCCCGTTGACTTAAATGGGTTGGACCAAATTTTTGAAACACTTCTCAGTGTGACACAACACATTTCAGCAGCACCACAAACAACACAGGGCTGTGTTAGACTACATTAGTGTGTGCTCTTGATTTCATACTAACAGAGTTTGGTCAAATTTAATACATTTAACAGTGAGACTTTATATTCATATGAAATATTTCTAACAGCAGAAATATACAGTAATTCTTTGAGTGACATACCTATTGAAACACCAGTATTTATTTAGTTCAAATTCAGTTTTGCGGGTTGTACATTGTTCCTGCATCAGCAGGAATTTGCACAGTTAAACATCTCAAGGCTCCTTTTTTCATCATCTCATCACAAGAAAACATGTTCTGAAACTCATTCCTGCACAGAAAGAAAATCAAACTTCCACAGGCAGCAAATGAGCAACCTTCATGAGGTGCTCAATGTTTTTATTTTAGGAGTATTTGTCCCTCGGCTGAGTGTTTTAACACCATACAGGGGAAAAATTGAAGTGTTTGTCAAGTAGTAACTCCACGTCTTTAACTGCGTCATCTTACAAAACATTACCGCTGCATCCACATATTTTTATACACCTTATTGTTGTGAGCCAAGGCCACAGATTTCACACTGTGTAAGTTGCATTTCAGAAAACAAAGCAAATTGTAACATAAAACAACTGGTGGTTTCTTTTAAGGACGTCCAATATGCAGATTAGGCTTTGGATTGCTATTTTCATAAGGGTCTTATCCTCCCAAAAAAGTAGTCTTTTTGGCTGGAAGATATGGTTAATGTAGAGGCAGCCTTCTGTACATGTTTGCATGGTCTTTTAATCTCCACCAAACAAAATTAAATTAAATTAAATTAAATCATAAACTGAAACTCCTCCAAGGACCCTTGATGGTACTCAGGCCACGTGCCGGTCTGCATGTTGCTTGCATACTTTCTATTCTGTTGCACGCACAGTGAAGTAATTGAGACTAAGGTAGTTGACTCTATGCTAGCTTAAAGAAGACAATGTTAAAATGTGAAGGAAGACTCAAGTTTAACTTATGGATTTATCAAGCACTGTCTGAAAACCTGCAGACTCTGAAAGGGACCATTCACCCAGAAATGAAAAATACATATTTTTCCTCTTACCTGTAGTGCTATTAATCAGTCTAGATTGTTTCGTATGTGAGTTGCAGAGTGTTGGAGATATGGGCCGCAGAGATGTCTGCCTTCTCTCCAATATAATGGAACTTGATGGCACTCTGCTTGTTTCAAAAAACATTTGGAAAACTCAACAGCAATGTCTGGCTGATATCTCCAGTGCTCAGCAACTCACACCAAACAGTCTCGACTGATTGATAAAACATACCGGTATATAATTTTGATTTGAGGTGAACTATTAAGCTTTGATGCCTCACGCCTGAAGCCCACTTTCCAACTAATTAAAGAAGCCACAAATTCTGTACTCAAAAGTGGGTCCATAAAAAGCACTGTTGTTATACCTTTCTTATCTGCAGTTCATTTATTGGTCCAGTTTGTTGTTTCATGACATATCCTGAGCTAAACTAGTCAAGCATATCATGTCATATCAGTCATGTTGTAAAATTTCCAGCAGCCACATCTGAGTTTGATTGCAGAATAGGATTCATCAGCTGTAAACATAAACAATTATCTTCACATTTTTGTTGTCAGTCCTCACAAATCAGCTGATATGCATATGATCATGAACTCCATGATGAACTCCATGATGCAGCTGACACATTTATACTGAGGCAGAGGAAATGGAGCATTAAATGCATCAAGTTCAAACTTGTTTCCTTGTGTTGTTGAAAAATATGTAATAAAAATGTATGCAGAAATCATCAATGAGCGGCAGGTTTTGTTCAACAGATAAGCTACTTTGCAACACTTGAATGAGTCCTTGGGCACTCTGAACATCACAGATTAATGAAACAAAAGTATTTAAGAGAGGATGTTTCCTTTAGTTACAGTTCATTCCTGTGGGGACATTTCAGAGGATAAAGGTCAGATTGAGCCGCAGAGCTGTGCCTCTATCATCAGGGATTCAGTGTGATGCCCAAAGTTAATCCAGCAGGGCAGCTACTTAACAATAAGGAGGAAAACTGTTTGCATATTTTACCCTTTTGTCTCCTCTTTCCCATCTTTCCATCAGTCTCCGCTTGTCTTTGTGACCATTTCGTCAGTGCATATTCTTTGATATTTTTAGTTTATGGAAAAAGACTGCTTGTGTTTATTAATGTGCATTGTCCTTGATTAAATAAATGAGTAAACACACAAATAAACCCCGTTTGTCTCTATTTTCTGCAGTGAAAGAAGGCATGAAGACATCATCCTAGTCATCAGTCATGGCCGATAAAAGGAAACTTCAAGGTGAGATTTCTGAGCATTTGTGTGTTGCATCAAACACCTGAGTCGATGCAAATTAGGATTTGTTGTGGTTTGATCAGGCGCCAAGTGGGTGAGGTTTACCACAAATTATATAAACAGGTAGCATCACAATCACAGAAACATATTTCAGAGTAATTTACGTTTCTTTGATTTAAAAGTCTCCTGTTGGCATCTTTGTTGATGAACTCCACCCATCTGTCACTTAAAGTCGGTCAAGACAAATGTCAAATTGTTTACAGCTCAAGTGTGATCACACCTACTTCTGCTTGGTTACTCTGTCTCTTTTTTTGTGACCTCAAGAGAAAGAAATGCTTTTAGTTTCACGCTGCGTGGTTGAAAGAGAAGCAGGGTGTTGTAAACAGAAGTCACATGAGCTCACAAGTAGCTTGTTTACTGAGTTGTGCAAGCTGCCAGGTTAGAGGTTTTTGGCTGGAGAGGGAGTCAGAGAAATACATTGTGTTTTGGTTTCTGTAGCTTCAGCTCAAACATGATGGATTTACCTTAACTCTTTGACACTTTTTACCTTCTCAAATGAGAACGCATAAAGAAAAAACTGGAGAGGAGCAGTGGTCTTTAGTGGATTTTGTAATGCATGGACTTCCAGTTTCAGTATCTGACTCTTTCTGCATCTATATGTCTTGATATATTTCCTTAAAAACGTTGCATTTTGTGGTTGTTTATAGCACTGGGATTGGAAAACGTTCTATCTATGGCTGCAGCTGTAGATTATTTTAGTAATTGAGTATTCTACAGATTATTCCATCGGTTAATGGAGTAATTGAATAAGAAAAAAACTTTTGCTTTATGAAAGAGCAATAGTAAACACAAAAGAGAAAATAAGACATGTATCTTAAAATTTACAAGTAATTGGTTACTATTTTTTTTAATTCCACATTTTGTATTGCTTGAATTACGTACAGGAATGTTATCTGTCAAAACTAAACCCATTTAGTGCATTTAAGTGCCGGATTATATTATTGATCCTAAAGAAAACATGCAAAAATGAAATGCAAAAGCAAATTAAAGTACTAAATACCTAAAATTAAAGACACAAAAAAATTAATTACACATGAAAGTTGCTTTTGAATTGTGCAATTTTACTACAGCTCAGGCATAACATGAGCCTTTACTGTTTTCTTGGAAGGCAACACGAGTTAACATGTGGTGACAGGCAGGCCAGCTATTAGGAAATTTGGGCAACATTTTCCAAAGTGGGACCCTGATTTTTGATGAGGTGTTCCGACTTAGATAATCAGGCTGCAGTCCGATTTACATTAACTTTGTCAGCTGTGTGTTTTGCACATAGATGTGCAACTGCCCCCTTTGTCAGATGGACTGCACCATTTCACAATACCTGTGAGGGGGTGGGAGTATCAGACGGCACATTGAAATGTGGTTTAATTTATCATGACAATACATGTAACTTGTATTGTCAGTGATTTAAGTCAGTAAGTAAATTGTGCTTGATCTCATTGAAGGCACAACCATAGACCTTTTCATGTGCTCCCCCTTGGCCTTGGGCTGGGCTCAACTGCACCCTTTGACCTTTCTGTCTTCTGTCCGGCCTGTCTCTACCCTTTAACCTTCTTTTTTTTCTCTCTCTCTTACTCCATTTTGCAACCATGTCATCAAAAGCAGTCATCATCCGTGCAAAACACAGTGCCCTGTACATGGATTAAATGAATCTTCGATGCAAAGAATTTGAATTGATGATTGTATTTAATGGATTCACCCAGGTTTATCAAGGAATTGTTTTAGCCCTGTCTATCCCCCGAAAAAATGCACCATAGTTAGTGTAGGAGAAGACAGAAACATGCATTTCAAGTTTGCTGTAACAGAGTAGCCCCACATCATTACAATGTCTTAAAAGTCATAAAATTAATTAAGCTAAAAAATAAGGCCTTAACTGGTATAAAAGGTTTCAATTCAACTCCTTGTCATTTGTAGATACAGTTCATTGTATTCATTCAGTATTTGTCAGTAAAGCAGGACTCTTCAAGGAGCACATAGCTGTAATATTATTAGTTCAGAAGTCTCTGTTTCCGTTGTCCACTGTGCTCTCCACTATCGTACATTTATTGTTTTGCTTAGTTTGAGGTTTAAGTGGTGTTCTTTTAACCTGGCACCCGACTGGAAAATTAGCGCCACCTACCGCTAATCTCAATGAACCAACCCCCAAAATTGGCATAGCGGATGGAAAAGCACGTAAATGCACATTTTCCTCACCAATTTTCTGAAAATTTGGTCAAAATTTGCACTTCATTTGGGTGAAATCCCAACTAATGTGATAAGTACTTTGATTTGTCAGGTGGAACAGTGAAAATCCATGAAAAGGTTTTTTATTTATTTATTTATTTTCTAGGTAAGGTAGCATTTTATGATATTTATCAATGTTGCAGTATTCAATGAGAATTGAGAATGTTGTTCATCTCTGTATAAAGGTTTCTGTTTATTTTCTTTTTCTTGTTTTTCTTTGGTAAATGTGACACTGTGCACAGGGTGACATTGTGTCCGTGTGTTTGGCAGACGTCTGTGCTAAAGTCTGCTCATGATGTTGGCACACTTTCACAGAGTTTCACAGACACCAGAGCATGTTTCAGACTTCAGACAGACTCACTTTGTTTCTAGTGAGAACAGTCAAGATCTGAGTCCTCTGCTGCTGCTCCTCTGCTCTGCTCTCACTGCTTTTCTTTTTAAAAATTTAAACAGCATGACCGTTTCCAGTGAAGCTGGTGTTGACTGATGTCTGGAACAGTTCACAGGACGCCGTTGATAATGCTTCCAAACCTCCACACCCACCACAACAAGCTCTTTAACCCGACCCAGACCTTTGTGTAAAGACAGAAAACCTCGAGGCTCTGTTGTCCCACAGAAATTTTCCCTTACTTTGATGTTATTTTCAAGTGACATTTGTCACTGCAGGCTGAAAATGTGCTTTTTTTGACAGGATTGATGATTCTGTCACCATCACTCACCCTGTCACGTGAGCTCCTGTCACTTCTACAACTCAACGGCTGTCTGTATAAAAACAAAACATGTACCGCTCCTAAAATCTTTGCATGAAGAAGAAACGATGAAGCACCAACTAGGCTCTGTCAAATTGTAATGTATTATTACCGAGGATGTAGACTTTCATCTAAAAATAACTCACTCGCAGCAGAATCTTAACATCAAGGCTGTTTAAGGTCAAACAAGAGTTTGTTCACATAACTTAATCTTTTCTCGACTCCTCCGACTGCTGCATCTTTCCTTGTCACTCCTCGTTGCTCCATCAGCGACAGCATCATTGATACAATTTGAACAATGAGAAAAGCAATAAGACTGAAGTATTTGAAGTATTGAGACCTGGCATCTCCTTTTTTTAGTGAGTTGGAAAGGTTGTCACACAGGAACTCTGGTGTCCTGCAGACTTTCATTTAGGACCCTATCTGACACCTGGTGCATAGCGACACATAGCGCAGCGCAACTGTCATGGCTAGTTTTAGACCAACGCAGTTGTCATGTTCACAGCCAGCGCCCATGTTTTTTAAGTAGCAGATGTACTTGCACCCATCTGTGTGCCCATGGGTGTGTAGGTCTTAAAATGAGGTGTGGTCAGGCCCATTGTTGGCATGTTGTTGTTCTGTGGCAGCGGAAAATGATTGTGCCATTGATTAACAAAAACCTGGTCTAAAGTGAATCACACAGAATTTTACTGTTATTTAAAGGGTGCATTATTTAGATAGTCCACATAGGTGGGTTTACAGTAAAATATCAACAATGATCTCTAAAATGAGAACAGAGCAGGGATGTAGATCCTCTGTCTGACTCCCTATTAAGAGAGATGCTGTGCACATTTACACACAAGGAACAGCGTAACTTTACTGATTATTTTAAAAGCTAAAAGTTTAGTTCTTTTTCCTCTGTTAAGTTTAAAACTACAGTTTTAAGTTTTTTTGCGTAAGAGTTCCACAATATTTGCTGCAGTGACATTACTGCTCCTTCTACATTGCTCTCAGCAGGAAACCACCTGCTTTTCCAATTTGGGGAATCCGCCATGTAAATAGCAGTGCGGGGTTTCCCACTCATTCATTTATCTGTGGCACGACACCATGTTATCAGCATATGCCACCACATTTAGGTTTTTTTGGAGCTGCGTTTTTCTCTATCTCAAACTATGTGTGCACGGCAGAGCCTACTCTGGGCACAGACAGCACAGCAGAGCACCAAGCGAAATCAAAATAAAAGTTAACAGTTCATTAATTCATATTATTTTAGTGCTGTCTATCATTTTTTCCAGAGTTTTTGATGAAACCATCTGCGTTCCCATGGAATTCACACACCCCGTAGTCCAGTGCTGGGTCTAATCAGCAAAATAAAGTGTGCTTTCACTCACCTCTGCAGCAGCTGCTCCTCTAATCAACCGATCTGAGTGCTCTGCCTGTTCACGGACCTGCAAAAACCTTTGAATTTAGAGAGGGGACACAGAATGATCACAGAGGAACACGCACAAACAAAAGGAAGTTTGCTAGCCCACCTTAACGGTCAGAGTTAAAAAAGCAGTAATAATGATATACATAGTTTATATACACACATTATTGGCACCCCAAGATTTTGTTATAAATGAGTTCTGACAGTTTGAAAATAAAGATTATTAAAGATGGCAGCAAGAATAGATAAGATTTATTTCCTAATGTCAAAGTCAGCAACATAACTGGTAATTTACTACACGCACGCACACACACACACACACACCCACACACACCCACACACACACACACACACCTCTCTCTGTGGGCAGGTTAAACAATATCACATCAGCAAACAATCAATGTCCTTTCATCCAAATTTCTGAGCACCCCCTGAAGTTGGATGTCTGACTTGAAAAGTTAGAGAAACTTCATCATTCCCGACCTCAGAATCTAACATAGCTGCTCCGCACATCACCAGTAGTGAAAATAGTATTAGAATACTGCTTAACAGTAATTCTTAGTAGAAGTTTATTTTGGTCACATAAAAAAAGTTGTGCACTCAGTCAAAACTGGGTGTGGACATGCTGCTACTGTGTTTTTATACACAAAATACAGCATAATGCATTGTTGCCAACTGGTATTGATAACAATGACTAACCTGGCTAGAACTGGTTTTACAAACAACATCTTGGTTTGCCAACTCATTGTTCTAGAACAAGGTCAACACGGAGATGATGTCTTAGCCACCGCCAACCTCAGACTTTTCAGGTAAAAGGAATGCAGCCTATGTCTGTAATGACAACATTAAGGAAAACAGTAACAGCGCCAGCCTGAGTTGATCACCAATCAGCGTTCATTTTCCCTGTAGATCGTCCTTGGTGGCAGCCAGAGTTGTGCAGTAAAAGCAAAGTTTATAAGGAACCAATCTAAACGCAGATGGTGTCACTATTTTATAGCCATTACGTTGTGAAGAAGTTATAGCACAAAACTTGTCTGTAGCCAATTAAAGCTTGGATTAACATAGATGTGGGTTGCAGATATGCACATACGTGATTTCACTTTGCTTTTCTGACACCATTTACACTGATGGTGTATGTGTCATTAAAGTTCTACTGATAATCAGTCATGTGATGTAGTGGTCAGGCTCTGTGCCTCCGTCTTTTTTTAGTCTACAAATGTTGATAGAGACAGACTGATAATTGTGTGCACACTGTGACTGAGTCGACGAAACTAATAAACATTATGCTGCTTTCGTGGTGCTGTGGGAAATTTCAGAATCATGAGCTCAAAGAACGTGCAAGACATAACATGTCAGGATTTTCTGTCATCAAGAAATCACAAGGACAAACATTTTTCCTGACTGTGGAGTGTGCCTAAGAACCAAGCAATTTATAATTTTACTGTTCTGACTGCAGTCACATGACCAGGACTCCAGTTTAGATCATATACAAGAATGCATACCCTTGTTTTTCAATTCTAGAATATAGTCTGCTTTAGTGCAGCGTGAAATGCAGGAAAAAAGCTGTCAGCTCTGTGGCGTGTTGAAGATAAAAATACTTGCTTTGGTGTGGTCCAAGTCAGAAATATGAAAAGTTAAAAAATAATGAGCTTTTCCCTGTGTACATTTAATAGCGAAGAACTGATGTGTGTCACATGCTGAGTGTGAACATAAATCTGGGGCATCTGTCCTCCTCTTATCTGACGCACACACTCTTCACCGTTCACTGGGGTGCAGATTCAACAGTTTTATGTGGCATTTTTATCAGTGAGGATCGGCAAAATAACAAACACTTCTCTGCATAATGCACCACAAACTGCATGCTCCAAAATGATCATACAGTTAAATTAACACCTCTCTGAAACAGATGTCTCTTTTGCAAGTGTTGGTGGTGCTTTTTGTGGTTGGCATTCAACGGTGGTGGCTTCTGGCTGCAAGTCACTTTTTTGGGATTAAAATCAACTCAACTCACCAGTCTGCAAACTCACCCCCCGCCGACTTCTTCTAGCTGGCCAAATGTAAACATCAATAAATATTGAGGAAAAGTTGGAGAAAATGGGCACCAGCCAAACTAGCATCCTGCTAGCCATTGTACAGGCTTGGGATAATAAACTGGACAAACTCCATGCCCCCATCAGTTTCTGGCGGTATATCCACAACTGTAACGTCCTTTGATTCACCACAACTAGGCTTAATCCTGAACAGCACCATTCAACTAGGTGACTCTTTTTCTATATGCTGATCCAACTGAGCAGAGGACTATGGAGAGAAAAGGAGAGGCTTTATGGTGAATAAGGTCTGGTGTGACAGTCGGAATGTGAGGTGTTGTACTGCTCCTGCTCTGGATCACTGCTATACGCTTTTAAAGGTGGCTGCAGAGCGGAGTTGCTGCCCTTGTTCGGGAGGAGCAACCATGCAAAGGTCTTTATGAGATGGAGATATATAACAATCTGCAGCGCATCCCTCCAGTTATGGAAGAGATGGAGCCAATCAGAGTCTGGAACGCATTCCAGGACACCAGTGTCGACATCATTGATGACATCAGTGAATCCAGGAAGCTACAAAATCACACTCTGCAGCCTGTGTGGAGCCATGGACAATTATAAAGCAGCAGCCTATGAAACTCCTAACCTAACTCGTTGAGTGGACCGTTAAGGTGTTTGTCATCCTGCATCAGGACCCATGAGGGCAAATCAAACTCTGTTGACTGACAGAAATTTATGCAACAGCACTTTAATGCTTCTACAGTGTTCATATTTATGTTCAAAGAGCTCATAGAGAAATAACTGATTGTAAGCATCATTAGTGAGCTATTATTAGACCACAAATCAATCGCATGACATGAATAATGACTACCACAGGATGAAAAGGAGGTTGCTTGTACAGTATTGATTCAGGGTTAATACTGTGAGGTCACTGTCACACACTTTTTGATGGACTCTAATGGACTTTAATGGACTTTTTAATCAGGAAAAATACCCACACTGATGTGCATACGTGTAGCCATGGTTGCATGTATGCATTAGCATAAATAGGTTATGGGATATACGTAATCTATATCAGGATCAATTATGAGATCATGGACAGATTTCACCATCAGCAGATGGATTTAGTAGTAGTTTGGCTGTTGAAATCATGTTAAGATCACATATCTGCTGTCATAAAATCCTGTGGTTGGTTCGTTTTCTTTCACACCACAAACTAACCGCACCAGAGTCTGTATGGAAGTTGGCCAAGACCCACTTTTTTAAGCGATGTTGGTTCGTTTGTTTGATCCACACCAGGGTTCGACTGACAGCTTTTGAAACAGCCAAACGTACCATACTAACTGCGCAAAACGGACCTGAGTTTTTTTTCCCGAACGAAACAGGTTAGGTTTGAAAGCAACCTGAATTCCAGTGCACAAGTTAAGGAAGCCAACAGGATTGTATTTCACACAGTTGTATCTTGTATGATTTCATGTGGCAAATATTGATTAATTAATGACCTTTATATTAAGGGAAGATTTATAGCAGACTGCATTAGATTGAGCTCAGTGTACCCAATAAACTGGCAGCTGGGTGTGCACAGGATATTTGTTTGTGTGTAACCTCTCACTTACAGGTAATAATGTACCTTTTAAGATATGCATATTTTATTAGATGTCAAACACAATTTGTAAATGCGCTGCTGTTATATGGAATTCTGTGTGTGTGTGTGCGTGCGTGCGTGCGTGCGTGCATGATCTGAAGTAGGTTTACTTTGGTACCTGGATTACTTCGCATGTTGGGTATACATATTTTTACTCCAGATAATCAGCTAATCTACTTTGAGTTGGCCCTAACTGTTCTGACATGTTTACATTCACCTTCACATGGGTGATATCATTTCATAGTTTCTTTAATCCTCTGTTATTGCTCCCTTCTTTGTCTCCTGCAGGGGAAATAGATCGATGTCTGAAAAAAGTAGCGGAGGGAGTGGAACAGTTCGAAGACATCTGGCAAAAGGTGAGGGAGGCTCGTCACAGGGATCGATTCATAGATTATTGTTTGGACTAATCATTAAGATTGTAAGAGAATATTCACCCATCACTGTTTCCCAGAGCCCTTTTTATGTCCAATCCACACTCCAGAAATATGACATTTATAATGGTTTAAAACAGAGAAAAACAGATTACATTCAGCTGGAACCCAGAGTCTGTAAATGTCAAAAAAATTGTGAAAATGTTTCAAAAAAGTCAAAGGTGACTTCTTCAAATGTCTTGTTTTGTCCAAAACTTGACAATACTATGTTAAAAATTATCTAAGCCTAAGAAAACCAACACACGTTCACATTTTAGAGGCCAGAACCAGAGAATTTTGTCACAGAATAAACTGAATTTCTTGCCCTATCTGCCTCTGAGTGTAATTCATCAGACTGTTGATAGCTGGGCAAAAGGCCTCTGCGGTCACAGTAGTTAAAAACATTTTACCATCACTAGGACAGAATTAACTATACTCATGATACTGGTTATAAACTGAGCTGTTATTAAAACGGCGCTGGGCCCTGACCTAACAGCAGCACAGAGTGCAGATCTGTTGTGCTAATGAAGAGGCAAAAAGAGGCTGTGTTTGAGTTACCAAATATCCCAGCTGCCCTTTTTCCTTCATTATCCTGTCCTGTATTTATTGTGCTGCTGTGGTTGTATTTGTCAGAGTTTAATGCTGATCACTACCCCCACAGATATTCATGTTCTATTTGTCTTACATTTATTGTTTCTATATCTTAATTTATAGACCATTATGTGTCCTGAAATTAATTGATGACACAAAGCTAAAACAGATCACAGAATTTTGAAAGTATGAACAAAGTCCTCATTGACGGGCTTGTAAAACTTGTCATAGATTGCATTTACAGAGTGGACAAAACAATGGCATGCACTGCATCCTTTTTTGACTGGAACTTGTTTGACCCCTTTGTTTCCTTTCCTCCACAGCTTCACAATGCAGCCAACGCAAACCAGAAGGAGAAATATGAAGCAGACCTCAAGAAAGAGATTAAAAAGCTACAGGTAATATACAGAGAGAGATGATGTACATATGAGAATTTAAGTCCTGAAACACCTGGAAATGAAGATTTCCGATCAAAGAGTTGATGGAGCTTAAGTGCTCGCAGGTCTTCCCCCTAAAATGAAATAAGTAACTCACAGTATCTGGACTCACTGTGAGTCCGTAAAGCTGATCGCTTTCTTTTAAGCTGGGCTCTGCAGAAATCTGTAAAAGACAAAGAAAAAAAGGCAGAATATAAAAATACACCCTCCTCCAGCAGCTCCCTCCTCTCTGTCCGAAGCCCCTCCACCAGACAACCATGGGCACATGCAGGTGCTTCATACAGTAACCGAGTGTTTCCCATACATTGATTTATGTAATCGTACTTAGCCTAATGGTAGAGTTTCAAACAGCCTCTCTGTTCGCTCTTTCTGTTTATCAGACCATAAATGAGACAAGAATTAGCTGCTAGCCACCCCACTGTCCCTCTGCCTTGTTTCCCACCGCTGTGGACTGCCACCCTAGGAGGAGAGCAGGCAGTAGCTTTGGACCTTTGGTCAGCGGCTGTTGAGGTTCAAATTCAGCCAGCGCTGGGTGTCACAGCAGGCTGGTGGCCACTAGCAGCACTGGGTCCAACCTGTGTAACATCAGCATAAGAAAGTTTGCTAGTCTGTCAGGGCTGTCAGGCTCCCCAGACCTGGGGTTTGTGTTGACCACATTCATATTGCTGTGGCAGCTGATTGGGGCTCCATCTGCGGAGCTGCTGCCTGCTCTCCTACTGGCGAGTTGGTCTGTAGTGGCGGGGAGTGAGGGGGAGGACACACTGTGATTCGAGGCTCTAGCTAACGTTAGATACACAAACGTGAACTAGAAGCCACAGCCGTGAGCTTTTGGCTACACTTAGCAGAAGGGGAAACTATAAGCAACATTTCTCTCCATCTCAGAAACACTTTGCCGCTTTATTTTGCTTATTGTCAGACTCTCTTTTTGATGAGTCTGTCTTCCTTTTTTTTAGTTGATTTGCAGTGTAGGCAGTTGTTACCAATGCTTGATTAGAAACATTCTCTTTAGGGATTCTCTACCATTGAATCAGGTTTTCACAGAGGGGACGTGCACACACATCTGCATTTGTAAAAACAGCCAATAGGAACACCCTCTCTCTGAAATGACCTATGATTGACCAAAGTCTCCCATTACAGACTAGATTTTCTAAAGCCTGAAGGCAGAGCCAAGAGGAGGTACAGAAGTAGTTTTCTCTCACCAATTGGTGTACAATATGCTCAAAGTTTATTATGGGATTTTTGCCCAGTGGTGCCAAAATAAAACTGCCGACATCAGCTTTAATACATCTGCGGAGCAATAGTAAATGAGGACACTGGGAAAGCACCCAAAAAACTGTAAACACCAAACATGGCAGGGATTTATCAGCAAATGTAAACATAAGCTTCACTCTATCTCATTGACTTTGAAAAACAGAATTTAACAAAATGAAGCAGTTTTTCTGTCTCATCTGGTACACAGGATATTTTCTTAATAAGTAGCTAAACTGTACAGATTTCATTGGGCCTGGAAATAACAATTCATTTCATTTACACTGAGCTGAGATCTGATCACCATGTGAACTAGACGTACTCCACTCTGCAGTGCACTCTGTGTGAATTTACACCTGTGTGTAAACGTGTTTTTCATCAGATATCCAGATACAGGTTACTTGTCAATACCAGGTGTAAATCAGGTCTTAATTTCTATCCAATCAGCAGGTGACACAAATAGCTAGAAACAGCCAGAGCTGACTGGTTGAGGTCTGATGTCTCTTCAGTTTGAGTCCTGAAATTAGATGAAAGGACATTGATTGTTTGCTGATGTGATATTGTTTAACCTGCCCACACAGAGAGGTGTGTGTGCGTGCGTGTGTGTGCATGCATTGTGGAGTATTAAATATCACCCTGGTCAGCCAGAAGCAGTGTGTGCTTCATCATAGTGTTTCCATGAGGACCAAACTCCAAGCCAAGCCTGTTTTCTGCATGCAGACACCAAGTTCACCATCCATGACTGTTGAGGACAAGTCGCTGCATGTATTCACTAATGTATCTGCATCTCTCTCTCTCTGTATCTCTCCCAATCTCTCTCCCTCCCCCGCTCTGTATCTCTCCCTCTTCTTCTTCTTCTTCTTCTCCTGCTTCTTCTGGTCCCCCAGCGTCTTCGAGACCAGATCAAGACGTGGGTGGCATCCAACGAGATCAAAGACAAAAGGCAGCTAGTAGAGAACCGCAAACTCATAGAAACGGTGAGTAGGACACATCACGTTCATTATAACACTCCATCCAGGACCTGTGTTTACTCTGGAGGATTGTGTTTGTTCTCAACTCTGGAAAGTCTTCAAGAGTCTAAAATATGTATTTAACAAACTCCAGGTCTGAATTCTGCATTCTATATATTACATAGCATTGATACATCAAGTTATAGATTACCAGATAATCAACAAGTTTTTGGCCAGTATTTGTCTTCCTGTAATGAAAGGGTGTTGTGGATCTATAAAACCCATTTATTCCTGCAAGACAAATATTGGCCAAAAAATATTGCTAATCTAATAATGGGATTTTCAACCAGGGGTCCTAGAGGGAGTTCTAGGGGGTTCCCAGAACAATTGGAAATAGTTTATTTTTACTATTTAATTTACTGTAGAAGTGAGTCTAGTGTTAGTAAGAATCATTTAAGCGAATATTTAGATCATTGGTTTCACTTCCTCCACAGTTATCTCCTCAACTGTCTTAGACAACTGCAAATCTGGTCTTAATCAAATCTAACAACCAAAATCTTTTCTGTTGGAGGTCTCTGATGACCTCTGTGACCTCATTTGTATCAGTTTATGGGTCCTTGATATGAAAAAGGTTGAGAACAACTGGATTAACACACTGATAACAGTCAGCATACTGGGGTTTTATTTTCATCTATGTTCTTGAACCAGTGTTTCCGCTAGTAACATTTGGTCATGGCGAGCATCCATGGCCAAAAAACCTGAAAAAATCCCAGCAGAAAAATAGTAGTTGCTGAATGTAAATCTCGAGGCAGTGTGTGCTTCACACACACACGGGTCATCTGTGACCCATGACCAGGTGATCACAGATTATAACAATGCAGAGCAGTGATGATATAGACCACAGATTCAACCCAAATTGGACTGTTTAGGTGAGTCAGTAGAGAATCCAGTCTACAGTGTAGTTCATACACATAAATCACTTTTCTATAATACATCACTGATATTTCAGTGGAATAAATTACTTACTGACTTATTCATACTTCAAAAACAGCATCAATAAGTGATTAACATGGGGNTGTCAAAATAAAATAAAAAAATAAAATAAAAATCAACCAGCCACCCTCCTCCCCTGACAAGTCCCTTCATAAGTAAAGAACAGTCCCTAAAGTGCGGTGAGGTTTGTGGAGCGTTACCTGCCACAGAGAGAAATGTGAACTGCTCGTTTCTCCTCTGACACGTCACATACCTGTGTGCCGCCACGGCTCGGCTGTCCAGGTACTGGGCGGTCATGACACCAACGAAAGAGGAAATTACTGGATCTGGAGTCGGACTTCTCTTTCACCGGTAAGCCGTTATCTTGCACCGCAGAGCACTATGAGCCTCCGCCGTATTCCTGTCTGTGACCCCCGTTCAACCCACAACCACCAGGATTCGCCTTTCGTTTCTGCTGCTGGTTGAAACATGATAATAGGGGCGCCCCAGCGCCCACTCCACTAACTTGACGTGGAAATGAGCGGTAGTCTAGAAAACTGGTGAGTTTTTTTTTGTTTTGTTTTGTTTTGTTTTGTTTTGGAGGGCGCTCGTGCGCCCTCACATAGATTGCGTCCTGGGCGGTCGCCCACATTGCCCATAGCAAAACCCGTCCCTGGGTGTACAGGAAATCTAAAATAACCACTTGTCAACCAGACCCGCTGTCGACACTAACCTCGCGACAACTGCCACCCAGACTACTGCAGGTGGCAGTTCTCGCGAGGCTAGTGACAGAGTTCAGTTTGGAGAGGCAGAGGAATGGTTTTTTTTTTTTTTTGTTAATTATATTATAATACGGGAGATTTACGGGAAAATACTAATACGGGAGGACGGCGGGAAAGAGGGGTAAAATACGGTAGTTTCCCGGCCAAAACGGGAGACTTGACAGCTATGGGCCATTGTATAGCAAAGCCCCTTTACAGCTGGAAAAGAAACAACCAACCAAACCCACATACATGCGCTTATTTTCATGGGGAAAGGGTATAACATTGGGCTTCATGATCAAAGAAAGTTTTGTATAACATCTACACTTTTGTCCATACTTGCATGTCTCCTCTCGCTTTTCTCAGTTGTCAACATGCTCTCTCCGTCTCTCGCTCTTTCTGGGGAAGTACAGTACATGAAAACGTCATTAAATAAAGCCTCTAAACCTCTTAATTTTAGAGCAAGCTCTAGTTGCCATATTTTATAATCAAAATTATTTTATAATCAAGAGCTATAACCAAATTACACATCCTATTGTACAAGTATAAGTGTCACTGTACAGCGTCAGTGATGGCAGTAACCTTCTGTGATCTATAGCTGACTGGACTGAATGCTCTCCAGGAGTCTGTCTGGATTCTTGAAAAACTTATTTAATGATGTTGTGCACAATGGAGTCCGCATCACAAGGAACCTAGTGATGGACTAATACATATGATTATAAAAAACAAACAAAGCTAATCTTTTGTCCAAGCAAATCTTAGCTTCATATAGCCTGTATCCCAGGAAGAAAGAGCCTTTTAAATAATAATGCGACTTTCTAGTCTTGCAAAAGAGTCTGTTAAATGGACAGGAATGATATGTGTAATGCATGACACAAATCAAATGGGATCAAAAATAATTCTGAAATCAATTCCCATGTTGGTCCACTGTAAAGGGAGGGACACGGCCTCGCTATTGGAGTTATTAAAGCTTTTACATTTTCGTCCTCAACACCCACTCATTTCAGTAAAAGCTGCCCAGGAAGCGATGCATTTAAGGCACTTATGTTTGTTCACTAAAGAAAAGGAACTTGGCAGTTAGCGTGAGCAGTGGTAGCCACCATGGTGACACAGTTAAAGACAAAATCACCATCATAATCTAGTTAAGATACAGAATAACAGACTGAAAATGCTATCAAATAATTTCTCAGATTACCCCTTTAAATAAAGAACTTCACCCAGGAGATTCATTATGGCATTCTTTACAGGGAGCTGGTAAACATGGGATCTGGTCCGATATCTAACACCTGTTCTTCAGCTTAGCTCATCTGCCCATCAGCACACAGAGCCACATGAGCCTTTGATGAGGGTTATTGAGATGGGCTGAATGTGAGCCACCTGCCTGCACAATGAGGGATGAGAGCAACTCGCCAGCTCCTTCTGATCTCAATGAGTCGGTTTTATCCTAAAAGCTGCTCTTCAAGACTTCCTGTGGTTCAGTTGGTCGACCTGAAATTATGCATCCTGCAGGAAGCAGCCGGGGTTAGTTAGCAACATCTTGTCTTGGCCAGGAAAGAAGAACATCAGAATCCTCAGGGTTTTGACACAGAGATACAGATACATAAAATGACTTTCCCAGTTTAGAGCCGCAGACATGTAGAATACAAGTTGGGTGTTAAAGTAACTGCTGTGGTTTTCCCTCAGGAGGGAGGAGGCTCTAACGACCATCAGTAACAGACTGCATATGGTCTTGCCCTATTTCTGGTCTGCTGAGTGTACTTTAATGGCTCCTCTGGATGCCAGACTTCCATTTATTATTGCTGAGTTCTCCTATTTTACAGCTCCATCATTAAGATTATTTAAGAACAGGGGAAAAAATGTTATTTCCTTTATTATGTAGAGTGGAAAGGTATTTGAAATTCCTCGGAGAATGTATTTCCCCTTGTATTCTTCTGTATTTTTGTTGTTGTGTCAACAAGTATGGCTGATTTGTCTGATTTATCTTTTTGTCTGTTTGTATCTGCTTGCAGCAAATGGAGCGGTTCAAAATAGTGGAGAGAGAAACCAAGACGAAAGCGTACTCGAAAGAAGGGTTGGGTCTGGCCCAAAAGGTGGACCCGGCCCAGAAGGAGAAGGAGGAGGTCGGGACGTGGCTAACGGTGAGTGGCAGTGTCTCAGAATTAGTATCCTTAACAGTAAGAAAGTGGTGTGAGTCAGAGGGGACTCCTCTCATAAGAGAGTTTGTTGCTGGTAATGTTTTTAATTTTTGTTTTTTAAACAATCTTGGAACTGAGATTGAAGTAAAAGTGGAACCAAAACCAGAATAAAGACAGAACATTGTTTCGACTTTCACAAAAACAAGAACTGAAAACCTCATTAACCAGCAGCCACTGACATCAATACATCACAGCTGTGTCTCCACAAAGCGTAAACTTCTATTTAAACAAGGGTGATATACTGGGACAAAACAAATTATGCTGAAATTTCTTTGTGTTGTGTCAAAGTGTACATGTGGCTTTTTCTGTTTTGTTTTGTTTTCTGACATTTATAGACTGAACATTAAAGTGACACGCAAACATAAAAAAATAATGGTAATGAAAATGATTAAGTTGCATTCCTGCTAATTTATTAAGATGTTTCCTTTTGTAGTTGCACAGGCTGCATTGAAGGTATAGCTCATATCCTTATTTTTCTCATAAATTTTATGCATAAAAATGTCTTTTGACCATAATTCTGACAGTTTTGTATCATCAGTGATATCTTAATTTAATTTTACCTACATCATCCAGAACTTCAGCTGCAACCAACTGTTGTGTTCATCATTGTAGATTATTTTAATCAATTAAACATTTGGTTTTTCAAAAAGTCAGAAAATAAAGAAATGTCTGAAAGATACACTGATATCTTCAAACTGCTTGTTTTGTCCAGCGGCAGATCTCAAAGATTTTAATGACTAATAAAATATAAATAGTTGACTTAACCAATTGTTTAGGAGTGTCATGACACTGTGACTGTGATATTAACTTTTTCTTCCTCTCTTTCCTCCAGAATACGATAGACACATTGAACATGCAGGTGGACCAGTTCGAGAGCGAAGTGGAGTCTCTTTCAGTCCAGACGAGAAAAAAGAAAGGAGACAAGGAGGTTAGTCTGTTATTCCAGAGTAAATTAAACATTTAAAATGTTAAAAATGGGGAAAATTTTCCAGCATTTCTGCTTTTTGCTGTAACAAAAACGCACTGAACCATGACACCACTATGTCGAATCAAACCAAACTATGAATCTTGTGCTGGTACACCCCGACAATGCACATAAAATAAATGACAATAATGCATCACAAAAAAAGGAAACTAAATATAGAAACCAAAAAGGTGTAGGCTGAAGCTTAAGCTTATTATACTGACCCTTTTTACTTTGCATATCCTTCTGAGTAACTTATTCACAACTCAGTCTGTTTTGTCGAGAGTGGCCACTATCAGCTCCAGCAGCCGCCTGGTGGAGATCAGCTCTCTGCCGAGTGTATTTTTTTTTTCTGGTTATTTTTCTTCCTTGCTGGTTATTTTTCTCAGTATAAAGCTGACACTGATCAGTCGGTCAGTCGGCCCTCAGCCTCTCTCTTCTCTAGTGGAGAGGTCACACAGTGTGTCCTACAGTTATCTTCTCTCTCTGTCCTGATGAGGATAACCTTGCTGACCACTTCTTCTTTCACTCCCTCTCTCTCACTCACTTTACCTCTAACGTCCTCTCCAGGGGCCTTATTTATAGAAAAACCTCTTTGACTTTATCCTTGACGAAAGGCCAGTCATTTCAGAGAACACGAGCACGAGCAGGTCTGTGTACACCGTTCATACCTCGCACATGCAGTGTCAGGAAAGTGACTCTTTTGTTGTCATAGAAAATATTTGCAGCCTGTTTCCTGGCATCAAGATCACTCCCTCTGTAATTTGCTTATGTCTAAAATTTGTGGAAAGCACCAAATTATAAATGACACCCAGAGGGGTTTATTTTTGTCTGTTGCTTTTGCAGTTAGCTCAGCTGGCCAGAAGCGTAGGACTGTGTTTCTCAGTGGAGATCTTGAAGTGCTGATGAGTTTTCTGGTCTCAGGTTTCACACACAGGCCTCAAAATGACCAACCGAAAAGATTGTGAAATTTCTCTTCGGCGCGTATTTCATCACATCACCTGCTGTGCTGATTAGGTTTTATTGTTTTGAAATTTTTATGGTTTTAGGGCTTACTCCTGCAGCACTCTTTTGCTGCGACTGTCGGTAAAAGAAGACTAAACTGGTCACAGATCCAGGTAGAAGCGTCACTCAGTCTGGGTCTGGACTGCAGTCCTCCATTTAGTGGTGCCCGTCATACAAGATATTCAGACCTAAACCAGTGGAAGTGGAAGTCAGTAAGAAAAAGATCCAATAGATACAACTGAGCATATTAAGGATAGACCGATACATCGGCCGGCCGATATATTGGGCCGATATTTGAGTTTTTTTACTTGTATCGGCATCGGCCAATACGCGCGTGGGTTCGCGGATTTATTTGTCCCTGGCATGATTTACAGACAGGCATCCACGGGCAGCTCTGTGTTGCCGGAAGACCTTGCAGCGCACATGCAGCGAATCCTACTGTGTACAGTAGTTGTTGTTTTATTTATGCTTCAGCTTAAATATTTGTTTATTTTATAAAGACATTACTGGAAGATTTAAGAGCACTGAACTCTTTTTTATTTGAATGTATAATAATAATAATAATAATAATAATATTCTATCTGTTCTACCTCAACTTTCCATCTTGTTTTAGTATTTTTTACTGTTCAATAAATGTTTCTTATTTTAAACTTGAGACCTGGAATATTTATTATCATTGTGTCATTTTTTTGATGTAAATTGAGGGAGCAAAAGCAGTATCGGCCCCAAATATCGGCCCAAGAAAATCGGCAGTCCATAATCGGTCATCGGCTAAGGGTGATAGAAAAAAATCGGTATCTGCATCGGCCCTAAAAAATCCATATCGGTCTATCTCTAGAGCATATTCCCTGAAAAGTTTATAATAATAATTAGGCCAGTAAAATAGTGGGGAGAGTTACATTTTATATGAGTTTCAAACTGTTTTGCACATCAACATATTTTATAAATGAGGAGTTTATTTTCTGCATTTCAGAGTTACTGGACTCCTGCTGCCCTGAGAGATGGTGTTTTTGATGTGTTTACTCATAAACATCATTAGTTGGTTGAACACAGTTACAGTCAGTAGATAAACAGATCATTGGCTCAGTGTGGATATAAAAAAAAAGCTTGTTACTACAATCAAAAGTCCAAACTCAGTGAGTAATAAATGTTTATTAGAAGCTTCTTCTGGTTGTGGCTGACGGTCACATGTGTTAAAAAAGATCCTAATAAAACCAATAAATGCCATTTTAGCCTACATGAAACATTTATTCAGTTGCATACTTTCCTTACTTCTTAGTACTGTATTTTTGACCCGTTGTGACATTAAGAGATCAAATTTAGCCTTTTCGAGCCTGAGTGCACTCAGCAGCACAGAGAGGTCCTCATGTTCCTGACATGTGCTGCTGCAGCATTAATATGTATTGTGATGAAACACATTAATATGTTCCACACTGCTGCCTCCACTAATGCAGTCCAGCAGCAGCCGAACAACATACATCGGAAGTGGTCATGCCCATGTGCTTTTATAATCACATCAGTTCAGCCAGTGACCCACAGAGCTACACGTGTTTCAGTTGTTAATGTTAATATCCAAAAGAAACATCCTGATACTTTTAGTTTTGTCCAAGTAACTCTTAGAACACATATGGCGCTGAAACATCAACATAAAAAAATCTATATAATTTTTAGTGCTTGAGTGCTCCAGAACATGCATGAATTAACTGTGGAGGAAAAGCAGAATTAAATATTGAAATCAGAAGTGGTGCTGCGGCTGTGTTATACGATGCATAAAGCCATAAAGTGCACATGTAGCTGCTGTACCTCTCATGTGTTTCCTAACGTCTGTATGTATAACTTTAAAATTTTAACATGGCTTTTTCTTCATTTTGTAAACAGTTTTTCTTTTAAAATGCCTTTCCTTGCTGTTACAATTAATAATTGATTCAACTGTTTGTGTATTGCATTGGAATAAGGTCCTATATATCAGCATGTTCAGCATTTTTTTATGCCTAATATTAAAGTAAAAAAGTGCGACACCAATTAACAGGTGACTTAACACTTCATTTGTAACAATAAAAAAATGCAAAATGACATGGAATAAAAGAAGCGCAAGCGCTCTAGTAGCCTCAAGTAGCCTCTGTCTTTGTGCCTTATGAAGTTGTCCGATGGAGCAAGAAAAAAAACAAAACACAAAAAACCCTGCGTACTGTATCGCTGAAACTGCGCTTTTCCAGCTGAGCTACGTACATCTGTCTCACTACCAAGTGTTGAACAGACTCATGAGAAAAGTCTGACACACTGGACACTAGATGATAAATCTCAGGTTGACGATGTTTCACACTATACACGTTACTTATGTGAAGTATGTCTGAAACACTGCACGTGAAAGAGACTTGCTTTTTTGACAAGAAGATAACCGTAGTGCGGCTTTGACGAGGGCTCCGGTGCAATGGTATCCCTTTCAAAAAGATTTTTAATCCAGCCTTGAACTGCATTGTCTTTCTTGAGACATTGTAGAATATATCCATAATAATATATCCAACACTGAATGTCATCTGTGAAAATGTATCAATTTTCCACTAGCTGTCCTTGATGCTTTTGTCGAACCAATCAGAGGCTGTTTCTGACTGTGTCTGTCTGCCTGTGGCTGTTGGGAGTCAAAGGCAAGTGGTTGAGATACGCCAGTTTGTGGTTGTTCCATCCCAGAAATTGCATGATGGAGCTGCCAGTTTACACCAACGGCAGCTGGTCTCTCTCAAGCCATTAGCCGTGTGTGTGTGTGTTCAAATTAACGTATAGACCAACATGCGTAACCAGAAAAAAATATTCTCAGCAGTTAACCGATTAATGGTTAACTGTTGACATCCCTAGTTTCTACCTTAATTTCTTTTTTATCTGGGTGGAAAGGCATTCAACTCAAATATCAAAAATATATAAAAAGTATGGAAATAAATTTGATCAATTTCCAGGTATTAAAAAGTATGGAAAATGAAAATAGTTTCCAGACTATTACCACTGTTCTAAAATACTGTTTTCTAAAATAGAAAATTATGTATTTCCAAAATTAATTTAATCAATCCGGATTGTGTTTTATGCCGGGCCAAGCACAGTTTGTGTGAGAGCAATTGTCTCAGAAAACATACCGCCCCTTTTACCTGATTGACAAGTGGTACATCCAGTCCGCTGCCCCATGACCCTCTTCCAGCCCCCCAGGTATCAAGTTTCACTCCAACACTGCACCTTCGACAAGAAGACGAGTTTCACGTGGTTCACAACGGGTAGATGCAAGTTTTTGGATGGATGGCTTGACAATACCGTATATAAATACCGGTTGGCCAAGGATTCCCAGTTCACACACAGAACTAGATGCAAGCTTTGTGTGAAATCGTTTGACATCGCCAACATGGGGGAGAAGGCGATTCTGAGCCGCATGAAAGGAAAAAACACGGACGACTTGTTACTGCATCGCTTGCACCCAGAGTCCCAACTTTTTTGCCTCAGCCCAGACATTGAACTTACTTGAGTTTTTATTTGCATGTCATTATGGTACTTGGCTACAATCGCCTATTAAGAATAATTAAATATGATGTGAAATATGATACACGGAAAAGTATGGAATTTTGAAATTCCAAATGTGTAGGAACCCTGTTAACAGGTTGTTTTCCTGTAGCTGTTTCTGAGGAGGAACAAAAGAGGTTGCTGATGCATTTATTACCTGAAAAATTGTTTGAAACTAACAGTGGAATTATCTTCCCACCGGTCCCCTCCCTCTGTTTTTTTTGTTGTATAGAAGCAGGATCGGATTGAGGAGCTGAAGAAGTTCATTGAAAAACATCGGCACCACATCCGGATGCTGGAGACCATACTGAGGATGCTGGACAATGACTCAGTGCAGGTGGACGCCATCAGGAAGATCAAGGTTCGCTTATGTCTTTATCAAACTAAGTCTTTCGGCTCTTACTACTTGTAGTGATTTTATTTTTCTGAACATGTAAATACAGCAGTTTGTTAAGTGCCACGTTATAAGATTTATTTTTCTATGGAAAATTAAAGAGTTGTTTCTGAAAAGATCATATACAATATGTCTGTTTACTAAACCACATACACATTATTTATCTTTCTCTCTCTCTCTCTCGTTTTATGTTCTCCCTTTATAAAGGATGATGTGGAGTATTATCTAGACTCGTCACAGGATCCAGACTTTGAGGAGAATGAGTTTCTGTACGACGACCTGGACCTGGAAGACATCCGTAAGTAGAGAAGGAACTGCAGTTATTTCACTTTGCTTGTTTGCACAAGACAGAATAGAAATATATGAAATGTATGAAGACATAAATTACCAAAACATTTGCAGGTAGAGCCAAAAAGCCAAGAAGAGTCTACAGACGATGTTATACATACCATCCAATCAATGCAAAAATTCAAGATAAAAACACAAATCTTTGGTGATGACTAATGTAAGAAAAGAAAAGCTTAAAAAGCTTCAGTAGTCATAAAGGGAGCCTTTAGCTGTTCCTCATTTTCTGTCATGTAATAAAAATGCCAAAGTAAACTGAAGATCGGCTATAAACTCACCAAACTAACAGTCAGTACTATAAATATAATCATATTGGTGCCATTTTTTCCCTTTTAAGAGTTGATTGTCATTGAACTCCTCTCCCTCTGTGTCTCTGCTCACCTCCAGCTCAGACACTAGTCGCCACCTCCCCGCCGGGACACTCACACCTGGAGGATGAGATTTTCCAGCACTCCAGCAGCACACCCACCTCCACCACCTCATCTTCACCCATCCCTCCCTCGCCTGCCACTTGCACTACGGTAAGTAAACAAAAACAAAACTGAACCTGTACCTTGGGCTGTACCGAACTCAGAATTACGTCAGTGTAATAAGATTTGACAGTTTAGCAGAAGTATATAACTGTTCTTTTTTTTTTTTTCCATATTAGGTTTTGAATAGTCTGAGTTGTACATTCAGTGTGATAGCAGCATTCAGGTAATACAGCAAGCAAGCTTACTCCGCTAAAGATGGATCAGAAATGTGTTATAAAATTTTTTCGAAACTAGATATCAAACAAAAGCCAGAGACTGTGATGTAATAAGTTGCTGTGAGCTGTAGATTTACCACTTCTAAGCAGAAGATAGAAGATGATGGTATCTCTAAGAGTCTCCTCCTCTGTGCTGCTGCATCTTGTCCACAGCTGACTGTGCCAAAGAGCATAGTCAAAGTCAAGAGCACTTACTCCGTAGCTCAATCTGGGACCAAAATGTAACCAAAAGTACACTGCACAGCACATTGACTGGCAGTCTCAGTCAACAGAAGGGTCTCTGACTGATGATTCTAATCTCCAACTTTCAGGGGACAACCTTAGAATTTTGTGGGTTTTAACCTGTTCCACTCCACCAGGACTTGTCCTCAGCTGACATTGTTGTCTTTCAGAGGCGGAAGTAGCGGGTTCTGTGGGTACCCATTAGTCTCCCCTTTACGGACATGCCCAATTTATGCTTGTCCCATGCAGTATTGGGCAAAAACCATGCAGTTAATGGCATGCAGTACAAATGTGGTTTTTTTACCCGCTGTATTTGAATATTGCATGAAGGGTCCCTAAACCAGTGGTTCCTAACTGGTCCAGCCACAGGGTGCAGATTTCTCCACAGTCATTGGTACAAGGTCCACACAGTTAAATGTATTCAGTGTCATACTTGAGGTTGGGTATGTCGTCACAAGCTAGTTTGCTGTCTCTGTCAAGTTGCTGTCCATTAGTCATTCACTCTACAGCAGAAAACAGCACTTCAAAATAAAAGGTCTGTGCCGGATATTCACTGCACTGAAAACACATTTTCACTTGCGGTCTATTTAGAATAGACCCAAGACTCACTTTTAGACCACAACCCACCAGTTTTGGAATTTAACTGTATAAAATGACCTATAGTGACCTCTAAGATAATCACAGCCTCGTCAAACTTTACAACCACAAATTAGAGACCTCGAGCATCCAGAGAATGTTTAGCTTTAATAGGTGTATTGATAATAGCATGGCTTCTCTGCAGTTTTCAGAATAGAAGTGCTCACCATCCAGTCACCAAAAACTGCAGTTCTAACAGAAATCTGAGATGTCAGAAGCTTTTGATACCAAATCACAGCTTGATGTCTTAGCGTGGTATTTCTGAGGGATTTTTGACAATTTTTATTGATTCTCGAGTAGTAAAAAAAATGCTTATGTTTAGCAGCAACACTGTAACAAATGGTATCAACCCAAAAATTGCTGAGACAACTTATGAGACATAATTGAGCATGAGAATGGTCATCACATATTCTGTCATAATGTTCTGAGCCCGTATATACTCTAAACTTTTAAAGTTTGAATCAGGGCCAACCAAAACATACTTGACACATAACACTGACCTGCATCTCAAAGTTAATCTTCAGGTTCCCAGCTTTCAGATGATTCATACCACTTCTATGTGGCATATATTGTTGACCTGCTACCTCCCTAAAATACCCTGCCCCCAGGGTATGAAATTAACAAAATATTTTGGGGGCAATTTTGGCCCCCACGGTCTAAAAAGTGAGGGCATTTTCAAAATGTTTGGGGGCCATCAAAATATTGTAATTATGTTCTAACAATAAGCACATGAAAAGCAAAACCAACTAAGATAGTGTCTTCACTCTTCAGTAGAAACCACTATAAATGAAATAAATAATGGGTTACATAAAGTTACGGTTGCAAAATATCACTCAGATTTCCTATAATTCAACCAGTTTAAATGTGATGATTTAACCATTAATCTACTGATAGCAGTACTAATGTTTCACCACATTACAGTTACTTTTACTGTTAAAAAGGCCAAATTACTATAAATTCCTTAGATGCAATCCTGGAAGTAAGTTAATTTAAAATTTAACATTCATTCTACCTTAATTTTTCATTAATTTGTCATTGTGTAGACACAGATCACCCAAGAAATGGTTAGTTTATACTTATGGTACAGCAAAACCCCCTCCCCTTCTCTGTCAGATTACTCTCACGTAATCAGTGCAATCTCGTTGATTATGTCTGGAAAATGAGTTGTAGACGTGACGGTAAATTAATTTAATGAAAATAAAATTATACTTTAATGTCAGATTGTAATACTGTTAAAAATATAAATACATATAGTTGTTTCGAAAACTTGGGGGCAATTTTGGCCCCCGGAACATGGCTTTTGGGGGCATTCTTGGATAAATTGCAGGCCAAATGGCCCGTGGCCCTTGCTAATTTCTGACACTGCCTGCCCCCCTAAAAAAACAAAAAATAGGTCTATGGTAGGGAGGGGGAGTGGAAGAGATTAAAATTCAGTGATTGTAAAAAAGGTTTGGAGATTTTCATCAAATTGTAATAGATTAAAAATAATAATAATTTGGACCATACTAGTTGCTCACCAGGTCAAACTATTCCACATATTTTCATCTGCTCTTTTCACTGTTCTTGAAAAGTAGAAATCCTTATAATTAAATTAATGATAAAACAACCCACTGCTTTCCCATCAGTGACAAGCAACCTGTCAGGTTATCTGTCATTGACCTTGTAAAATAGTCAGTAATAGCAGTAATGATGTAGGGCTGGGTAATATATTGATATCATGTTGATGTGGTGATATGAAACTAGATATCGTCATAGATTTTGTACACACAGTATCATGAGTGTTGTCTTTCCCTTAATTTAAAGGCTCCATTACAGTAAAGTGAACTCACCAGACTGTTCTAGCGTTTCCCCACCTAGTCATTATATCCACAATACTTAGGATTATTTTTAAAAATCTCATTGTGTAAATACTTTGTTATAGTGCCAGTAGTCAACACTGCAGTGTTGTTACAATATCGATACTTGGTTAAAAATACAGTGACATTTGATTCTCTCCATATTGCCCAGCCCTATAATGATGCAATATTGGTAATATCTGAAATTTAAACGTATTGTTTTTGTTCACTTCAAGTCAAGTCAGGTCAATATCTAAAATATAAACGTAAGATAATTGCCTTTGTATCTGCTATTGTAGTGCCCTGCCATCTGCTCTCATTGTTCTGCTCTACTGTCATTATATCATCTGTTATTCCGCCCACATGGGAAGTGTAGTGAGAGTAGTTATTAAAGGTGATGTGTGAATAGAAGGCGTGGTTTTGTTAAATGCTGCTGATATGAAAGGGAATGTAAAGGACAGGATCTAAGCTGCAGTGATTCCTGAGAAATGTGAAGTTCAGTTGGTATTGTTTAACTTTTAATTATCCGAGATAAGTTTATGGGAATGGTTGTTATTCCACTTTATATGCTAGGGATTTGGATCAGCACCCGTTTAGACACAAGCTATTTGGGAAAATCATGAATTTATGTGAATCTGGCTTCTTTTGGCTTCGTTCTTATGCCTCTGCACCGGCGATAGGCGTGGCCAGAGGCATTATTTTTTCGGGTTGTCTGTCTGTCCGTCCCATTCTTGTAAACCCGATATTTCAAGGACATCTCATGGAATTTCTTCAAATTTGTTACAAATATCCACTTCAACTCAATGATAAACTGATACATTTTTGGTGGTCAAAGGTCAAGGTCACTGTGATCTTGCATCCGTCTCATTCTTGTAAACACAGTATCTCAAGAAGGCCTTGAAGGAATTTCCTCAAATTTGGCACAGACATGCATTTGGACTCAAGATAAACTGATTAGATTTTATTGGTTAAAGGTCACTGTGACCTCACAAAACATGTTTTTGGCCAGAACCCAAGAATTCCGATGTTAGTTATAACAAAATTTCATACAAATGTCTAATAGGATAAAATGATGAAGTGATGACATTTTATATCCAAAAGGTCAAATGCCAACTTCACTGTGACATCATAATGTTGTGCAAAAACGTTTTGTTTTTTTCTGGTCATTATTCGACATCATATCTCAGGAACAGAAGGGGAGACACTTGGTCAGGTGCTGAACTGGTGACACTAATCTTGGGTTCCTACCTTGAAGCTCTGCTGATTGAATAGATCCACTGTGCTGCCAGGTTGAAGATGTGAGAAATATCCAAGTTCTGGAGTTTATAGTTTAATTTCAGACACATCCAAGTGTTGTCTTCTGTCATGGCTACATATGAGTCTGGATGTAAACTGTAGCTGCAACCTGACTGGTTCACAGAGGCATACAACTGTGAGGCGGTAATTCTTGTTTTTCCTGTCTTACACCCACAGTCTTGTGGTACAGCTTTTAAGCATAATGACCATAAACTCCGTGTTTTTCTGTGGCCTCATGTTGTTCCTCATATGTGGTTTTCAGGAGAATTCGGAAGATGACAAAAAGAGGGGACGCTCAACAGACAGTGAAGTCAGTCAGGTGAGTCTGATGACACTTATTTTTACCTCTTTGCCTGTTAGATCATGTCAGCATAATGTCTTCAACCCCCAGAAACACAGAGCTCCAGTAAGTCATGTACCTAATCATGACAAGGAGTTACTGTATGTAATGAGAAGAGTCTGATAATTGTTGATTAAGTCAGTTATGAATAGTCATTTGCTGGTTCAAGCTCATAAATTGAGATTTTGGTGCCTTTTTTCGGTATTGTGATAATATATATGGAATATTTTGAGGGGTTTGGACTAATGCCGGGACCAAAAAAGCAGTTTGAAGCTGAACAGAGAAATGTGTAATGAGTATTTTAAAGTATTTTCTGGCATTTTATTTGATAGGTTTATTAATAATAAAAATAATTGTCCTGATATAGTAGCCCTAATACACTTATATACTACAGTATACTAAAATTCTCCTTACTGCTTTTAGTTATCAAGTTTAACCCTGTAGCATGCTGCAAAATGAGGCTTAAAACCATTACAACAAAATGTACTTCCCAGAAAAAATAAACATCTGGCTCCTTATAGGGTCTTTTGGTACAACCAAAGTCTGAACAAGACTTTTTTTAGACAACCTAAATGATACTATTAACTTTTACAAACTATAAAACACACTGAAATAATGACAGCTATGGCTACACCTATGCTGTTAATCTGGGGTTACGCTATGGTTATGTTACCAAACCAACATTGTTGCCTTGTTAGCGACTTACCCACCTGTCATTCAGAGCAGCTACACCAGCAAATATGCATAACTGGTAGCCTTATTACCATTTAAACAGTTGAGTTATATAAAATTCACACCCCATACAGTTGTCATGAGTGAGAAAATTACCTATAGAGACAAAACCATTTTTTGTACCAGGCTAAACTGTTTATTTCTGCTGTAAAGTTGGATGGGATTGACTCGCTCTTGGAGCCAGCCTCAAGTGGCCATCAAAGGAATTGCAGCTTTTGGCACTTCCAATTCGGTTTTATTTGTTTTTGTTCATCACATTCATTCAAATTGATATTAATCATATTCAAATTTCTTTTTGTCAAAATGAGTCAAGTCTTCTGTGTGAAAATCCACATTTCTGATGTTAGAAATCTTAAAACCTACCTCTAACCTAATACTGTCTTTTACTTTATACATGCACTTACTGTGCAGAGGAAGGATTTTATGTAGGAATACAGTCATTAGAGTGAGTTTAACCACATATTCACTGTTTATCTTACCTGCAATGCTAGAATAACAAAAATTTATTTTCCCAAAAATCAGTCTCAGGTTTGATTAAAAATTACCTTAAAAACGTCTTTTGAAGCATTAAATTTAAGAGTCTGATACCTGTAGACAGCCTGTTATATACGTGTGTGTGTGTGTGTGTGTGTGTGTGTGTGTGTTGTCTTATTTTTGTTTTGTGAAATTTTAGATAATTTTATAATTAGCCGATATAAAAACGTAATTTGCTGGTAAAACTTGTAGTCTGAGTTGGACATTAAGTGTTTTTAACTTTGATGTTTCCTGTAGAAAACAATATATCATTAACTAACAACATGACGCACCTCCAACAAGACAAACATGTTAATGTCTTCTTACTTCTTTTCCAGTCACCTGTGAAGAACGGAAACCCCTCTTCCTCATTATCCTCTTCCTCTTCTTCCTCCTCTTCCTCCTCCTCCTCCTCTTCCTCCTCTTCTTCTTCCTCTGTCTCGGGACTGACCTCATCCTCACTTGTCTCTATGGCGACCATCGCGGCAGGAGGGCTCAGCAGCTCTGGGGGCAACAGTCATCACGGCAGCTCGGGGGGTCTCCTCTCCAACACTTCCGCTGGCAGCTACAGCAATGCCACCCAGCAGCAGCCGCACCCGTCAGCACAGCAACAACAGGCCAAAAACTTAGTTAGCTCCACCTCCTCAACTCCAATCTCTATCCCCATCACCTCCACCAACAGCCATCTGGTCTCTTCTGCCCCCTCTCCACCCAACGCCATCACACAGGGGCTCTTCACTTCAACCTCCCAGCCCCAGTCTCTGTCCGGGCACACACCAACCTCCAACAGTCTTGGCCTCAGTCTGGGCCTCTCGCTGGGGAAAGGCGGCATGTCCAGCTCGATCACCACCAGCCCAATGTCCGGGAGCCTTGGCTTGTCAGGGATGCCGGCATCCCTGAGCACCATGGCGAGCCTTCTGTCGGGCTCCACCCCGGCACCCTACGCTCAGGCAGCTGCCTCAGGAGCAATCGGCTCTGGCTTGCCTGGCTCTCTTGGCGGCATCGGCATCAGCCCCACAACAGCCAACACAACAGTGGGCTCCATCGGCAGCGGAAGCATCACAGTCGGCGGGCCGACATCCTCAACAGGAGGTCTGCTGGGCCCAGCTCCAGGGCTGACCAGTGTCGGCTCAGGGATTCTGGGTCTGAGTTCCGTTCAGTCAGGGGTGCAGGTGTCTTCCTTGGTGTCACTGAGCCCAGTAGGAGGTTTAGCGCCAGGTAGCGGAGTGGGAGTCATCGGGAGCAACGGAGGCAGCTCGGGATCAGGGGGGAGCGGAGTGGTGGGAGGAAGCTCGTCACTCTCCATCAGGCCGCCAAGCCAACAGAAGCAGAACGGTAGCACTAGTGAGTATCGAGTTAAAGGACAACGATCAGTGCTCTTTCATATTCTTTGACATTTATTTGTTCTCTCTTTTACTCCTCTTCTTACATCACAGGTTACAGCGCTGTGGTAGCAGACAGCACAACAGACTCCGCCCTCACCAGTGCCAGCCAATCACAAAGCAGCCAACCCTCATCTTTGACCTCCACAGCCAATCAGCCGTAAGTATGACAAAACAAGTTACCTGTCAGTAGGGATGTTTCTAACAACTTATGTCCACAATGTTAAAGGGGAAGAAAGAATCAGTCATCAGCACATGTATTATTCTATAATTTAAAAGTGTACATTAATAACAAAAAAAATTTAATAATAAGTTTAATATACTAGTATTTCTGGTGCCGACTAGCTAAGGTAACTGTCATGTAGAATTATGGGAATATGGGTTAAAAATCTCATGTTGAAATAAATCTCGTGAACATCCCAAATCACTTAAGCGTGAGCAAAAAAAAAAAAACGCATCAGTTTCCCAGGTTCACCTTCCCACTCTTCTCGGGTTTTATTTGAGTCTCCCCTTTTTCATCCTTTCTCTCATTCTCTTTCTCTCTCTCCAGTAAGGACACTGGTCCCAGTTTACTGGGCTCACTAAGTTTGTCATCCAGCTCCCCGTCGCCAGCCTTCTACAGCGAGGCCAAAACGGTGAGCGGCGGCAGCCTTCTGAACGGGCCACTGTCCTACTCACAGTCCTCCGACAGCATCAAGGTGAGAATTTACACACACACACACACACACACACACACACTCACACACACACAGTCACACTCAGGCCCCGGTTGTAACTGGTATTAAAACGTGTTTTTCTGTATCCAAATAATCCAAATACAGATTGGTTTTTATGGCAAGTGTAAATGGGGCAACTAACATAAACTCTGTGTTAGTCTCACAGTCTTACAGCTGCTGATTTATAATGATGTCATTTTAATTAACATGTTTTTTTCCATCTTTGTGTTTTGCGATTGATAGATAGCACTACAGCTAAGAATAAAATGTGTCTTTGATTTGTGGGGTGAACTGTCCCTTTAAACAACTTTTTATATGTATGGTTTTTTTTTTAGCAGTTCTGACGGCTCAGATCTTGTGCTGTATGTCAAAACAATTTAGAATTATGTGTCATTGGTTATTTTTCCAGTTGGCATATTAAACATTCAGGCTCACTTCATGGCCAAAAGTATGTGGACCCCTTTGCATTACACCCATGTGTGAGCATTGCACACCTTACTTGAAAACCCTGAGTGTTCATCTGCTGCTCTAACAGCCTCCACTCTTCTGGGAAATTTTCTCAGAAGACTTGGGAGCCTAGCTGCAGAGATTTGTTCCCATTCAACCACAAGAGCATCAGTGAGGTGCAGCACTGACATTGGGTGATCAGATCTGTCTCATAATCGGTTATCCAGTTCATCCCAAAGGTGCTGGATGGAGTTCTGTGCAGGCAGGTCTTTATTCACAGAAGCATTGTCATGTTACAACAGGAAAGGAAACTTCCCAAACAGGTTGACACAAAGTTGGAAGCACAATTGTGTCCAAAATATCGCTGTCTGCTGTTGGCCATATAGTGTAGTTCTTTTGCTCTCCGTGTCATTCGGGTATGAAATACTCTCGCTCCTCAGCTGCCTGATGTTACATCACAAGCATCTTTGAAAGGAGACGACAGAAAGAAACAAACAACGAAGAGCAAAAGTGATTTTCATGACAACATTATCACTGGTGCGGGAGCTGGAGTTCCTCCATAGGGGCAGGTACGCTAACAATGTGCTCACAGTCCAGTAGAATCTGTTTTCCCATGAGTCTCCTTGTCTGTCCTCATCAGCCCCAAGAGCCTCTGAGCAGCCTGAAGTCCATGGCCGAGCGAGCAGCACTCAGCTCAGGGATGGAGGGAGACATGCCCTCCCTGCACCTCACCCCAGGTAACACACACACTCCAACACTCACACACACTCGCGTACCTTGATAAAAGGAGATAGAGGGTTGCCACAGAGCAGAAATAGAAAAGCAGTAGTTTAATGGAACAAAATGTCATCTCACCTCCCACTCTCAGCCTCCTCTGAACAAAAACTGCTGATGATATTATCAGCCCTGACTCAACTTCTGTACTCTTTGTCTCTCTGACTTCAAATCCCAAATCCCTCCCCCTTCTGCACATCCTTTTTTCACTTCTCCAAATACCTAATTTCCTTCACCATCACCCCTTTCACCTCTCCCTGTTGCTTTTCTGACTTTAAGTCTCTGTCTCCTGCTTTCTTTTTTCAGACATCTTTCCCAGCAGCACTACGGCCCCCTCAGGCCCCCCGTCAGCACCTCAGCCCTCGCAGTCAGAAGTCAGCATCCCCCCATCGTTGGGGGTCTGCCCGCTGGGGCCAGTTCCCCTGTCCAAAGACCAGCTCTACCAACAGGCCATGGAGGAGGCAGCGTGGACGCACATGCCCCACCCGTCTGACTCCGAGAGGATCAGGTGCAGTCAAATATTTACATTTTCCCCCACACACATACTAAAATAAAATAATAATAATAACATATATAATAAACACACTGCACTCAGCCAGAATAGTTGGAAACAGTACACTCTTTGCCAGCAGGATGAGGTCAGATCTTGACTGTGAAGGCTCCTTACACGTTTGTTGTAGACAGCTGCGTATGAGAGAACGTCCAAAGGGAAGAGAGGAGAGAATTCCAGCACATTGTCCTTTAACTTGGAATAAAGTTTATTTTAGAAAAACACAATGTTTCAGTCCTTAGGTCTTCGTCAGGTAAAACTGTTGTGGAGGAAGTACACAGACTCTTAACTTGAATAAAAGTATCAATACCATGATGCATCCAAATACGTAAAACAACAGAAATATCATCAAGGACAGGAAACTTAAACTACAGTGTTAACAATACTGTTAACTAACTTTCATTTATTATCAGAACATGACAAATATTTGCCAAACAGTGAAACATTTTACAAATCTGAGGTAGATTCAAAACAAATATAATAAATTTTAATTCTGATCAGGAGCATGTGAAGTCTTTGCACAGATGGTTTAAAACATTTTGAAAATGTTTAAGCTGACAATTTAAACGAAATGATTTGACAGACGAACAATCTCAGTATCTCGTAGTTTTAAATGCACAGTGTGTGATTTCTTCCATTTCTCAATTTAAAAAAAAAAAAAAAGAGAGATGGACTTTGATGACATCGTAAAGTAGCGTGGGATAATTACCTCCTATCTGATGTGACTCAGAGAATCATCTTCACAGACAAGTTGATGTATTAAAGTTTTATCCATGTTCCATTTATTCACGTTGGGTCATTTCATTCTAATGAAACAGCTGCAGCTAACGTACTGCTAACTTGCTAACTTATTCTAGAATTTTGATTTTAGAAATTCCCAGACTTTTAATGTTAAATTTTAAAAGAATGTATGAGAGTCTGATAAAAAAATGATATATGATATAAACACAACACAGCGTCTCAAATTGTGTTTCAGTTTAATAGTTACTGAAGTTTTTTACTTTTTTTTTGGGCAGCTTATTTCCCTTTCTGTTACTGGGAGCTACACGTGTGACAGGACCTTGTTGTTTCATTTTGACGCAGATAATGAAACATAAAATCTGTCCTCAGACAGGACAAAGAGCCTCAATCACTGATCTGAGCAAACACACATCCTTGAAAAATCTTCTGCATTTAATTGTTGAATTTCCATTGTTTGTCGAAGCTTTCATGATGCAGAGATTTAAAGAGAACTTGTTCCAGACTCTGCAGCTTTTCTTTGTCATCCAACTGAAATCACAGGGCCACAGCTCGAATCAGTCGCAGCACGCAGTTATTTAATACAGGGAATAATGTGGACATAATGAAAATCACACCACTGTACTTGATATGTATTTAGTGCTGTCTAATACCCTCAGTAATGCAGTAATGTAGATACCTCCACACAATCAGAGGACATTATGCTGGTTCTGTATCTACAGTGCAGTCAGCCCACACAGATACAATTGACATTTAAATCTGAACACTCAAACCCTCTTGTCCCACAGTACCTGTTGTTTTACAGCCAGAGGAGGAGAGCCACACACACACACACACACACAGCCTGCAGGGATTTCTTCTTTGGTGTTAAAACAAGACTATGATGTCGACAGTCGAGTGAAATCTCCCACGTTTCTTAGTAACTTTGCTTAATTTCCAACTCAAGGATGGACAAAATATCTACACATGAACATGTTGTATCACCTCCTCTTGCAATATGTTATAGATACAGTAGTACAGTACAGTTCATGAGATTTTGTAGGTCAGAAAGGTAGGTGAGGTAACATATTTTTCCTCCGTTGTTGTTGTTGTTCAGCACTTCTACCTGTAAGATGTGATTGATGGTCTTTGTGGTAGGTTTTTAGTCTCACACCTCCTCTACAGTGATTGGATGGCTGGGAAAAAAAATGACAGGGATGAACGCAGCGTTTCACACAAAGTTGACGAGGAAAAACAACTGCAGACATACAGCGCTCGTCACGCTGCTGCTGTTTGTAGCATTGTGTAAACACATGGTGCTTACAAATGCAAAGAATTAACAAACTATGCAGGCCTCAGGAAAAATGCTTTTTGAGTTGGGGCCGAGCTGTCGCTGCAGCTGCACTTGTCGCCATTTTTCGCATGTTCTTATGTGCTGGCGGGGGTTCTTCCTCTTCCTCTGGCATTTAACAGCAGACTAAAACACATGTCTGCGTATGTGCTGCCTGATCAGCTTCAGAAGAATTGCATCCCCCATAACTACGGCACTTGAGGAAAAAAAAGTCCGTAGTAGTACCGTCATGCTTTCCAAATGTTGTCATCGACTTGGTACCTGAGTATTTGTTACATTTGTGTCTAACATATCGTATCGTGAGATATTCTGTGACTACTTTTTTCAACACACTTTGTTATTTATACTGCTTAATTTTAAATAATCATATTGGTACATGAGGAGTGTGTTAGTCAGATACTTTAACTCACTAGTGATCAGTCTCAAACTTCCTGCTCGTTCGTGGCACTAGATCATTAGTTCTGGCACACACTGACCTGGCAGCCTAATGGAAGCAGAAAGGACAAACTGGGTTTGTCACTGATCTAAAAATACATGGTTTGGATGGAAAAGTGCATCTGGGCAGAGTGAGCTCCACTGAGGTAATTTTCCTACTTTTGCTCCCATCAGGGAGGAGAATCTGTCCGACCGTCTGACTAATGGATCAGTTAATTAGTCCCAAAACATTCATCAAAAACATTCAATACAGCCTGACCGACATTTAGTGAGTGTGTGGCTTTGGATTAGCAAATTAGTCTACCTCAGATTTGAGGCAGTGTGATGATGATATATAGTCTGCTTTCTTTTATAGCCTTTTTTTTTTTTTTAAATCTATTTACAGTCTATAGTCTGTTTTTGCAATCATGATTCACAGGTAAAGTCACAACACTGTAATATTACAACCCTTGATAATGATTTCTGAAATAACTGATATTACAGCCTGAAATTTGCTCTCCACATTATCATATTGTCCATTTCCCATACTTGAAGAGTTATTCTATAGTTGTTGATAAATGGAGCAAGTTCATTTTGTTATGTCCCAGGTGCTGCACCAATTATACACATTAAATTTTGTTTACAGGTGTTGGGGAGCACTACAAAGTTGTATAAAGCCTTTCTTGTCTTGTCATAGAATGACCCAGCTGCATTAAAACTGATAAACTCAGTCAGTGTTGGTTGAACTGAAGATTTTAAGTTTGTGGGGTTAGAAAGAAGTGAGCTCACCTGACTTTGTACGTCACACCTCATTTCTGCTGCAGGCTCCAGGCTACATTAGCTGCTACTAGCATAACACACTTCAAACACATCGTATTGTGAGTAATGCAGCTTTTGTTGTTAGTGAATTCACAACCAGCAGGAATATAATACGAAGTGTTGGAGATAATAACAACGTTAGCAACCAAGATTACATGTTTCCCTGGCGTTAGCATGTAGCTAGGTGTATCGGTGTACTTTCAGTTGGGGACTGACTTCGAGTGTGTCTCAAATTGCATCATTCTTACATTAGTACACTTCAGTGTACAGCACTATGTACACTACCTGCTTCTTGCGTGGCACACTTATTTCATCACTGAACAGTCACTGATTGGACTCCTTATTTAAATCCTGAACCAGCAGGTTTGATTCACGGATTGCGTGCTCTTGTTTTTTCACACCTGTTGAAAATGCCCATGTTCTTCCTTTTCATCAGTGATGTCCCACTAACCGTCCCCCTGTGTGGATATTACAGGCAGTACCTGATGAGGAACCCGTGCCCCACCCTGCCTTTCCACCACCAGGTGCCACCGCCCCACTCTGACACTGTAGAGTTTTACCAGAGGCTTTCCACAGAAACTCTCTTCTTCATCTTTTACTACCTGGAGGTAAGCCTCTGTGATTTAGTGTCGGAGTCATGATATCAAAACACAAGCTGCATCGTTCTGGAGATTAATGTTCTGCTGCAACAGAGTTTGACAAGAGAAAGGGATTCAATGTCAGAGTACAAACATGCACAATACAGATGTTAATCTCCAAATAATTAATGGAATGTGTTATTGAACATTATATGCAAAACTTGCTCGTGTTCTTACTAATTACATTTTTTCCCACTGTACTACTCTCTGCATCTATTCTCTTCCTCTGCCACCTATCTTTGCTTTTCTTTTCTCGTTTCTCCCATGCTCTACTCTCTTCTTCTTCTTCTTCTTCTTCTTCTTCTTCTTCTTCTTCTTCTTCTTCTTCTTCTCTGCAGGGCACTAAGGCCCAGTATCTGGCAGCCAAAGCCCTGAAGAAGCAGTCATGGAGGTTCCATACAAAGTACATGATGTGGTTTCAGAGGCACGAAGAACCCAAGACCATTACAGATGAGTTTGAGCAGGTCAGCTTCACATCTTCCACCTCTAGTGATAAGAAAGATTATTTCAGGCCCACACCAGTGTTTCTGCATGTTTAAGCCTTTTTAAACCATATTGTGGTGTTTCAGAAAATTTGATGAAGTCTTTGCTGTTTTAGGCAGTCGTTGGTTTCTGTCCATTTGTGTGCATTATGAACATCTCTTAAGAGCCTCTCAATAGAGCTTTATGTCAATTTGTGTGTGCCACAGAGAATATGATGTAATTATTATGAAGTTGTTCAGTGCAGATATTTAACATGTAAAATTTTAACCTTGCACATAAACTGCATTACTAACCAGTCACAGTATAAGATTGATAAGATTTTGGAGAGGCTGTGGCCAAGGAGGTAGAGCAGCCATTTAACCCAGATTGCTCCTGAGCAGGTTGAACCTTGCATAGTAGCGTTGGCCACTAGGTAATGAATGTGGGTGAATGATGTGAATGTTGTCTGTAATGCACAGGCACAGGCAGTGACTGCTAGCTTAGACTAGAAGAGTGCTATATATAAATGTATTTACCATTACAACAATTAATGCAGATGGATAACAACACCTCATGAACTGATTGATTGCTGATTGATTTTTATACTCTGCGGTTATGAATGGAAACCAATGACTGTCTGAAACAGAAGAAAAATTCTTTCAGAATTTTAAGCTGCACAGCATTCATTTGAAAATAAGAAAAAATGTTTTTTGACGGTCCCGTCCCATGTACAAGCTTGAACCACTTAGATTTTATTTAGAACCGACATTTCTCATGACACATTCTGGCAAAATTAAAAAGTAGCCTACAGTTATCAGCCTGTACTAATGGCGTCACAGTGCTAAATCCAACTTGTATTGCATTAGTAAAAAGCAATATGACAATGTGATTTATATAATGTTTTTGTTTATAAACTGACTCATAGAACCACCAGTGTCTGACAGGCCGTGCTCAATATACTGCAGAGCCGAGGCCGGCAACATGAAGGAGGTCAAATCTCAGTAGAGGTGGCATGGGGGAAGATGCGCACGGTGCAAGTGTATTTGCCTTTTAGGGGGATGAGAAAAGACGAGAGGGCTCTCGCAAGCCCCTTATATATACATCCTGCTGAAGTTGGGAGTGTTGCGTAGTTATTCCGCTTTGGCATTCTGTATAAAACGTGCAAACACTGACTGTTAATGTCCAGTGTTTCCCTGCTGGGAGTGGCTCTGATGAGATGTTATCTTACTCCTAGTAAAACTTTTTTTCCAGAGCAGGTTTGATTGTATTTCTGCCAGGTCGTTCATCAGTTACTCAATCATGCTTTTAAATTCTTCTTCAGGGAACATACATTTACTTTGACTATGAGAAATGGGGCCAGCGGAAGAAGGAAGGCTTCACGTTTGAGTACCGGTACCTAGAAGACCGAGACCTCCAGTGACCTGCAGAGAGGAAGACCGACGTACAGACAGACAAGCAGACGGCTGAGGAAGTGAGAGAGGGACAGACGGATGAAGAACACATGAATGAAGAAGGGTGCTCCACCTGCGGACATTCCTGGATTTGACCTCAGCTGGTTGGGGAGATGTTCGCAATGGAGGGGGTCGAGCGGGTTTGCAAAAACAACCCCTCCCTCCCTCCGACCCTCCAACTCTGCCTCATCATCCTCACCACGGCAGTGATTACTCCTCCAACCCTGTTATCCATCCTCCTCCTCCTCTCCACCCCTCCTCTAGGCCTTTTATTTCCATGTTTTCATGAACTGGGACTCTCTTTAAAACAACAAGACTTTGGTTTGTTTTGGCAGTTAAGACACAAGAAAAACACACCTAATAATCAGACGTTCGTGTGCTTTTCCCCTCTGTGTTATTTTCTTGTGTTGGCTTTAAAATGTTTGCTTATGTTAGCCCATTAAGGAACCAAAGATAATTGGTTAATCATACAGTACAGACTCTGTCCCCTTTCTGAACAGACTTAAACAGGGAGCGAGTGTAGAAGCCTCAACACACACACACACACACACACACACTAAATCTGTGTCGGTGCTATAGTATGTCTGCAGCAGCAGGGTAGGATTCAGGTGAAAAATGTGACTTCTGTAAATCCGGCAATGATCAGATGATGTGAACTGACTCAAGATCAGCCAGGTCTTTCCCACTACAGGAACTTAACGACCCGTAACCTGTCCAGGATCAGCTGCCAGTGTATGAGCCACACATTGCTACTAAACCAGCATCTGAGTGTGAGTCATTGGAAAGGCGATGGGTAACTGGATAACTGGGCTAACTGTGTTTTTTTAACGCAGTATATCATTTTTCTCAGCGGTGCTACAGACAATAGAAATGTGGTGCTAATATGAACTTTCTTTTGCATTTACATTTGTTGATTTTTAAGGCTTAAGTATTAAATCAATAGAACAGCTCTCTCAACAGTCAAAACATTTTAAAACTTTGAAAAAGTTACTTGTTACTCTGCGGTAAAACTAGCTCGCTGTTGGAAATGTTACATAATTTTTGAAAAATCTCATGCACAAACATCACTGAGTTATGTAAATAAACTTTATTACGGAAGTATAATGCATTCACTTGAGAAATAAATCTGCTTTTGTCTTGAATAATGAGATTATTATCTTGTTGATATAGAAAAAACAAACTGATTTTTTTCCAGCAGAAACTTTTCTCAGAATTCTGAGATCTGATGGCGCCCCTAAAATCCCAAAAGGTGATAGTTTTTGTATTTTGTGCACACAAAATCAAAATATCACGCAAAATATCCTCTTCCAGGACTTAAGGGGCAGCATAAGTTATTTTTTCTCACGTGAATGCATTACACTTATGTAGATAATGGACTCTCCAACGCTGTGCAAACAATCAGTTTGGACGGACAGAGGCATATTGAGGCAGCAACAGACCTAAACCTAAACTTCCTTAAACTTCCACATCTAAAAACATATCCTGTATTATATTTGTAGTGTTTGCTGTGTCACAGCTGCAGTCCTTCCTTCCTGAGAGAACCGTCAGTACCGCCTCCTGAGCAGTCACCCCCTAAAGCGTCTACATCTTATATTATGGGTTGTTAAGTTCTTATAAGCGTTCTCTTCTAAGTTTCATCTCTAAACAAATCATCCACAAACTGAATGAGTTTTTTTTTGCGCGATTCAGGTCACAAAACATGATCAGCCTTGCGCTCAGATGTCCCTGTGGGCTGGTAAATGTCAAGTTGAGGTAGATAAAAGGAAGCTTACGGAAGTCTAATGCGTTCATTTGAGAAGAAAAAATTGCCCTGTTTCTCTAAATTAATGAGATAATCTTTTTAATTCAGAAAAACAAGCATTTTTGAGATTCTCATTTTAGAAAAAAAAATAAACAAGCAGCATTTTGATGCTTGATTTATACTCCTGCAGCTGTGCACCTATGCATGCTGTGCAGCCTAGTGCAGACTCCTCTTGTGCACCCCAGGCATACGTGGTACAGCGACAGGTTGTGTAACGTGGTTTCACACATGCGTGATGGGACCAGAACTGTTTGGAGCCCTGACGTCCAATCAAACTTCTGTGACGTCTGCAGTACCCGACGTGTAGTCACATTTTGTGCAGCGCATCTCGGCTGCACAAACCATCTCTGTGGCTCTGCACAAGCTTTTTTGTTGAGGTATGAATTAGAAAACATCAAGATCTCATTAATTCTGGGAAAAAAGGGCAATTTTTCTCCCCTATAAATACTTTTCTCAGTATTCTGACATAATCTTGTCAATTCAGAAAAGTGAATGCATTACACTTCTGCGGTACCTAAATAATGTTGCTCTCCTGCCCTCCTGGCACTGCCACAATGAGAGCTTGTTGAGCTTCATCGCTTCAACACTAATGAATCACAACTGACCCTTGAACCAGCAAACCTGCTTCTGGTGTGCAGTTGCCTCGCCTCGACTCAACCCGACTGCCTTTAGACGTAACACAGACACATCCGTCTGCTCACCAGGGTCGAAAATAAACACCACCACCAGCCAAATGTGGGTAAATGTTGGTCGTAGGTGGCACCACAGGCCTCTCTAACTCTTAATCTTTCAGAGGTGGAGTGGTAAAAGTGGCTAGTTCATATTGTGAATCCTCCAGTTGCTGCAGTGTAAAAATATCCCGCCCTGCCTCCTCCCATCGAGCCACATTGGAGGAGTGTGACAACACGGCCTGAGAGGTGTTGGTAGTAACTGTCTTTTACCTGGTGGGCAGTGTTATGTCACAGCACTTTTAGAAGAAAGAGATCACACTTAGAAAATTAGGATGTATGTCAGAATTTTATTTTAAGCTTTGTGTTTGGTCCTCAAGCTTTCACAAGTGTTTGGGGCTTTAAATTAAAGGGTTAGTTCACCCAAATTACATAAAAAATTAACATATAACACATTTTTCTCCAGTGGTATGTCATCATACACAAACTGATTAGCTCATGTTTTGGGGTATTTATGAGATTTCTCCCTCGTCTGCAACACAGTGGAGGTCATCTTGAGGAAATCTGTCCTCTCTTTCTTGCCAAGTGAGATAGATGAGTAGATTGAAACCTCTCTCATGTCTGAGAGTGATATCGATCTTCTCATCACTCTTGGCAAGAAAGCAAATGAAGGCATTTCCCAAAATGACTGAACTGTTTCTTTAACTGTTGTATGAGGTACTTATCCATAGTCATTGTATCACATACATTAAGTGTCAGTTGACGTGTCCCCAGTTTCGAGAAGCAGGCTGGAGTACCAACATGGAAGCTAAGCACTGTACTGCTGTGGACGTGAGGTAGCAACAAATTTATTTTAGCCACCTGAAAGAAGTCAATATCTGTAATTATGTTATTAAATGTATGCTATATTTAGAATATTTTCACTCCTTTACCCTTTTGTGAGACAGTGATTTCCAACGGGATGAAGCCGTTACATTACTCTCTTTTCATAGCCAGACTCCATTGAGAAAAACAGTGATTTAACATTGCTGAACACGGGAGCTGCTGGTCTACCACTGCCTCAATCTGTTATTTTGTTCGTGTTATTGTGTGACTTTGGCATTTAAAAGAGTTAATTCGGATGCACCAATGTCACACAATATCACAAACTAACAAACAGATTGAGGCAGTGGTAGACCAGCAGCTCCCGTGTTCACACAGTAAAATTACTGTTTTTGTCAATAGAGTCTGGCATTGGAGAAAGAAAAGCCGTTACTGGCTTCCTTGTCGTAACCGGCTGTGTGACAGAAAGGTAAAGCGGTGAAAGTATTCTCAGTGTTGCGTACACTTTGACATTGATTGTTTTAGCCGGGATTTTTTTTTTTTTAGGTGGCTAAAATATGTTTTGCTGCTGGCCCCCATCCGCAGCAGTACATTGCTTAGCTTCTGTGTCAGCATTCCTGCCTGTCTCTCCAAACTGGGGGTGTTCTGACCACCTTTAACTATATGTAGTACACTGACTATGGATATGTACCTCATACAACCCCACTTAAAAAAATCCAGACTACCCCTTTAACATTTGCTAATCAGTCGGTAAAGAGCAGATAAATCCCAACATGCTGCTGCTGACATGCCAACACTGTTTGTATCTCAAACCTGGACGAATAAAAGCAGAATTACCTGCATGATTACATACAACTAGCAGTATGTAGGAAAAAGTTATCGTCAGTATTTTTTGGTGATTATTTTGTGTGCGTGGGTGTTGGATGCTACCAGCAGCTGGATGGACAGTTAGTCCTGTTAGTCTCCCACCAGCCTCCCTCCCTCCCTCCTCTTCTCTCTGTGCTGAAGAGCACAAACTGAGCAACACCAGCACTGCTGCCCACATCATCTCTGTCCTCCAGCTCTCTGCTTCATGTTTACACACTGACTGGGCACACAATAAACACACACACTGCCCAGTTCTCACTACCAACAAGTCATGGTGTTAGCTTTTTTCCACATCCTGAACTCTGCTGCCAACACATAGCAGCATATTTTTTCTGTATTTTGTTATTTTTATCACCCCAAACACTTTGAGTTTTTCCCTCTTCCTTTCTCCGTGGGCCAGCTCCCTCCTCCTCTCTTCATGGTAGATATTTCCTTTATTTCTCAGGAAGTATTTGATAGATCAATTTAACGAGGAAATGTATCCGCCAGCAGCTTCCGTCTCCACAGCACAACAACAAATAAATTAATCTTCCCCGACAATTTCGTACCAAAATTTTAATTGTTATCAATCACTCTCTTGACCTGCCAGTGTCCCTTTCCATTTCACCAAAAAAAGCTTTTTTTGAAATGCAAATATTATCCTCCAATGTTTGGAGCACCTGGACGAGAGACCATCTTTATATTTTGTTGGATTAATTGTAGTAGATTATTTTTTCAGAGACGGGGAAAGCATTTTAAAACCCAGAGAGTGAGGCCCCCTGTTGTGTTTTTCTTTTTTTTAAAGATCAATAACTTCTCGAGGAGTGTGGGGTGTTTTTATAGCCAGACAGACAGACGGACAACTCTTACACTTATTCACTTGACTGACTGACAGTCCTGCTTTTAACCTTTGTGTTTACTTTTTTTTTAAAAAAAAAACAAGCGGAAGGGATGAGAGGTCAATCCGAGAGCTGAAATGTGAATCTCTCTCTGCCCCTTGGAAAAAGTGTTGTATAGACTCTCATTCTTCAAACCTCTCCTTTGTTTTTTGTTTGTTTGTTTTTGTTTTGTTGTTGTCGTCAGACAGCATGGAGTAATGACACTTGCAAAGTGGCGCTGACAAAGTAAATAATGACATAACCGTGAATAAAGGATTGTAAAATATTAATAAAAGAAGTACTTTTCAGAAAACTGCACTTGTGTGATGGTTTGTGATCAGTTTCACATATGTTCACGTTAATAAGATAAACATATATAGATGTAACAGGTCTGTAGATTGCCAAGAGCAGATGTGAGGACATCAGTCACATGACATAGACTTCAGACTGCTAATTTGATGACTATTGTATATTGTATCAAAAGGTCTCATCCTACTACAGTGACCTCCATCAGAGGTGATACACAGCTCTTAGCCCGTTGAGACGTTTGACTCTCCAACAGTGAGCATAAATGTTAACTCAACAATGGTCCTGCTGTTGCTGCTGCACTTCTGGCTCTGAAACACTCTGCAGCAGCACATTACTGCTGCACCTGTCACTTCACCGGTGAACAGCAGAGCGTTATACTGTACCTGTCATACTGTAAGTGTGACTGCATTATGTGGTGCTGTATGGAACAATAAAGCTTTAATGAAGCTTTAGTGGGAGAGGCTGGGAACGTCCTGCTTGTTCTCAGAGAAACACATTAGTAGGACACATTTCTCCATCTTTGTTGCTCTGACTCTTTTCTGCAGCCACAGATGACTTGCTGTCAACAGAAGTGGAAAGTAGCAATGTACATTCATTTTCCAGGTTCATACTTGTATTTTGGATTTCTACTCGAATATGTTTACACGCTCAAAATAAAAAATACCCTGCTCAAAAAATTAAGGGAACACTTAAATCTTACAACGCGACAAATTATACCTGCCAGTTCTGGTGTTGGATGGAGTCTGTTTCTGACAGTTTGGTCAGAAACATGCACACCAGTACCCTGCTGGAGGTCATTTTGTAGGGCCCTTCTACGGCCCTGTCCAGCTCTCCTCATTTAACACCTGTACTCCTGGTATCTCCTCCATGCTCTTGAGACTGTGCTGGGAGACACAGCAAACCTTCTTGCGACCGCACAAATGGATGTGCCGTCCTGGAGGAGCTGGACTACCTGTGCAACCTCACTGGGCTGCAGGTGCCGCCTCATGCTATCAGTAGTGACAAGAACCAAAATCTTTACACCCAGGCATATTCCCCTAGGAAAATGATTCAAAATTGTGAAGAAATTAATAATTTTACCAACCAAGATTACAGGTTTCCCTTAAGTTAGCATGTAGCTACATGTAGCAGTGTACTCACAGCTTGGGAATAACTGACAGGGAGTACAGAGGGACTTTCTCCCATTAAAAATAAGCCATAAAAGCTTCTCAACACAACTGGACCTGTTCCAACAAAGATTACAGGTTTCCCTGATGTTAGCATGTAGCTACATGTAGCAGTGTCCCCCTTGTGCAACAGTATACTTTCACTCCCAAAGACATCTTTCAATTTTTGTGGACAATAAAGTTGTATTCTATTGTAGGCCTATTCTATACTGTTCTCTTTACTTTGTTGCATTTGTTTCTGCAGTTGCTTGTTACGTAGGGGAGAACGGTGTTGGTTGTCACACAGGTTTGCTGTCACAGTACTTATTACAGCCACACTAGAGGGCGCTGTGGCATTATGTTGATATCAAACAGTTGGCCTGATGTCCTGCTCATTTTGCACTCGTAATTTTGTGGAACACACACAAACACTGAGGTGAGGAGATATTTTGTCATTTTTATGGGTCAGAGTATTTTTTCATGTTGGTGTTGTTTTTGTATTAAAAGCGTGTAGGTTATTAGTCATTTAAAAATCAAACACTTATTGAAAAGTTGAAGGTAATAGCTTTGATTTTTGACTTTTAGCTAGCACGCTAAAGCTATGTGGTAGCTAGCTTAAATTGTTTGTCAAGAGCTGAGTTGGGGGACGGTTGTCACACCTGTGACAGTTCAAAAAGACACTCAGCATGGCAAACATGTTATAGTCCATATGTGCTCTGGCACTTTTGATCACACACACACACACACACACACACACACAATGTTACTTTAGTTCCTCATAAGAAAACAATGTTGTATCTAAACAGTTAGAGATTTCAACTTAGGCTGTTTGACATTCTAACTAAAGTTCTTGGTCATATTGTCATGGAGATGAATCTGTTCTAATGGTTTTAATAAAGACTAGACTTCTTTCAGCACTGTAAATTCCATCATGTTACTTGCCATGACAGAGGACAATTCAAAGAAACAATCAACTGGTTTAAATTCATGCTTTAAATGCAAGGGGCACCCATAAGTACTATTAGAGAGGTGGTATTCATTTCAAAACTTATTTGGTGCTTCTATCTTAAAAAAATAAAAAGTTACTTTTTTTTTTTTATCTTTTGGTGGGGTTGGTTGTCATAATGTGTCAGAGTGTCTTTGATGGTTAATGATTTCTTGTTACAATAAGCTGTAAAGACAAAAGAGATACACATTCAGAGCCAAGACCCTAAGCTTTCATTTAATGTAGGAAATATTTTGATGATGAGCAATTCACACAAGAGTAAAAAGTGTGACACCCAACCTCGCTCTCCTCCAGTTCTAATCAGCTCTACTTGAACCTGCTGCAATATTAAAACATACAGTACAGTAAATGTAGTTACACAGTATGTAATGCATTAGTAATGTGACACTCCATTCCAAGACCATTTTGCATACTGTATTCTTTTACTTTTAATAGTTCAAGCACGTGTTTCTAAATCATTCATCCAGAATTTTACTAAAAGATACTGTATGTATTTCAAAATCCCGTAAAGGTTCAGCACACAGGCCACAGCTTTGCATGTTTTGACTCCATCACTTTGAACAGCTCACAAATACAGAAGCCAATTTCTGCCACTGTGATGACAACAAAAGATCCTGTAAGCCGTTATAATGAGAAACATTCTCAAAATAATGACTTAATATTTAAAGTTTAACTTAATATTTCAAAATAATGGCACATTATTGTTTCAAAGTATTGTTTCCTTTTATGTAGAGATATTAAGTCAATATATATCAAGTCATTATTTAGAAATACTAACTCATTCTTTTGAGAAAGTTTGCCATTATTATGAGCTATCAATTCAATAGTTTAAGATACTCAGCCAGGGGTCAGCAACCTTTACTACCAGAAGAGACATTTTTGGTCCAAACAAATTAATTAAATCTGTCTGGAGCCACAAAATATATTTGAGACTTATAATAAAGGTAACACAGCTTTATTAAGTCTAATTTAGCATATCAACATTACTAATAGGTCACATCATTGATATATTTTACCCTTAGGTTGCTAATCTGCAGGAGGGTATTCATGAATATTTGGTACCTTGCAGCGAAAGTTAACAAATCTGTCTATGCACTGTTAAATTCAATATTTTCCTCCAAGACTTTTCCCTCCTGGATCTGAAATCCACAGCTAGCTTTGTTAAGGAGACTCAGGACAAGTCACCGCTCTTGATGTTCGGCAAATTTAGCAAAAAGGAGCCAGGCTGTAGACATAGCTGTGACTCACATTTTAGTTGACAAAATGTTTGATGCCTTGACAAAGGTCTGTGACCGAAACATTGGCAAAATAAATGTTTCAAGTGAGAAGAAAGCGTGTGGGAGTCTTTCTACAAGTCTAGTTGACAAAATGTTAAAACATTTTTTAAACTAGTTGTAGGCCTTTAGGCCACACATTTACAATTGGATAATTTAAAAATCACTTTACAGCAATGATATACGAAAATTAAAAAGTTCAAAAATAACCGTGATTTATTGACATGAAGCCGAATTTTGGTCAACGCCACAGGGAGCCATTGGAGAGTGGCTAAAGAGCTGCATGTGGCTCCGGGGCCACAGGTTGCCTACCCCTGTACTAAGTCATAATTTTGAGATATGTCATTATTTCTGTCAAGTTTTTCATCATAATGACTTGCAGGATCTTATTTCATCAGCTGTTGGAAATGGACTTCCATACACATAAAACATACAGTAAGAGCATAACATAAAACCTGGTCCTAGTCTAACATGTTCAAATTGCTGGTTTTGTCCAAACAGCAGTCCAAATGCAAAAATATTCAATTTACTGTCATGTTTAATAAAGAAAGGCAACAAATCCGCAGTATTGAGAAGTTGGAAATTTTGGGGCATTCATGCATGAAAAATGACTCAAACAATCAATTACCAAAATAGTCAAATCATACAAATTCATTACCTGTCAGATGACTAATGATGATGATTGATTCACTAATCGTTTCAGGTCTAGGCCAAACCACACTGTGGAAACTGACAGTGTTTGTTATCTTGGTGCCATTCATTTTCATTCATTTTCCGTAACCGCTTATCCTGTTGGGAGTCGCGGGGGAGCTGGAGCCTATCCCAGCTGACATTGGGCGAGAGGCAGGGTACACCCTGGACAGGTCGCCAGACTTTCACAGGACTGACACGTAGAGACAGACAACCATTCACACTCACATTCACACCTACGGACAATTTAGAGTCACATGCATGTCTTTGGACTGTGGGAGGAAGCCGGAGTAGCCAGAGAAGACCCACACTGACACAGAGAGAACATGCAAAGTCTGCATGAGTTCCCCCGCTTTTAGGTTCGAGCCCCCCCCACCCCAGGTTCAAACCAAGAACCCTCTTGCTGTGAAGCGACAATGCTAACCACTGCACCACCGTGCTGCTGTCTTGGTGCCAGTGAAGTCCAAATGTCCCCACCTGGTTAACTGAATCCAGCTAAAGGAGCAGGCTCTCCTGAGATCACTCATAAATAATAATGGATGGTCACACTAACTACATTATACTAGTAGTATGTTAAATATATTAAAATGTTTACAATACGCTATAATAGAGTGCAGATGTGTGTTTATCTGTTGGTTGTCAACTGTGAGCACAAGTGAACAACAGTTTAGCAAACCACAGCACAAAATATGATATAACTGTTGAAAAATACTGTATATTTACTTAAAATATCCTTATGTCTGCATACAGCTACATTAAGGTGTGTTGTAAAACCTTTATTAAATGTTATAATTTATTTTTAAAAAAGGTATTCATGTCTGTATGTAATATAAATATAAAAATATTTAAGCCTTCAAAGCCTGGAGCAACATCACTTTTCTTGTGCTGTTTT